AGAGTTGGTATGGTCTAGTCCAGGGTTAGGCAACCTTGACTCTTTTATGACCGTGGACTTCAACTCCCAGAATTCCTGAGCCAGCCATGCTGAGGAGAAAGGGAGAGGTTTCCATGCTGAGTCATGCTGGCTCAGGAATTCTGGGAGCTGAAGTCCACGAGTCATAAAAGAGCCAAGGTTGCCTACCCCTGGTCTAGTCTTTCCACCCAAGAAAAAATCCATCCTAGATAGAGAAAGACCATAATGTCTACTTTTCCATATTTAGCTTGTCAATTTTGCTCTGGAGGCCAAAGAAAAACACACCAGGGTTTAAGGCTATGTACAATGCTGTTTGCTATCAGAAGTACAGGTGTGTTGTATTTGGCTCAGAAGTGGGCAAATGTGCTTTGAGTCTGGTGTGGGTGCACTTTTTTAGCTGCTTCTTAAAGAGTTGGTGGCTTTTCCTGAACTCATCCTACTACAGCCATGCAGACCCAGGAAAATACAGCGAGTCCCCGACTTAGGATCATCATTGGGGCCAGAATTTCTGTTGATTAGCAAGGCGATTTTTAGTGAGTCGTACCCAATTTTGTGACCTTTTCTTTTGGCACGTTTGTTAAGCTGTAATTGCTTAAGTGAATCACGTGGCTGTTAAGGGAATCTCGCTTCCCCCATTGACTTTGCTTATTGGAAACCAGCTGGGAAGGCTGCAAATGGCGATCACATCACCCTGGGACACGGCAACCATCGCAAATACATGCAGGTTTGCCAAGCACCTGAATTCTGGTCTTGTGACCATGGGGATGCTGCAATGGTTGTAACTATGAGGAGTGGTCAGGAGTTACTTATTTTAGGGCTGTTGCGAAGAAGTTGCCCAATTTTCCATCGCAGGGGCATTGAGATTATTTTTTTCTCCATTTTTTCTCCTCCATCGACCAGATACAGCCCATTTTTAAATTTGATTATTTTTTCCCCAGTACCTACATCCCACCACACCAAATCTTATCCAATTCTGTTTTGTTTTCAACAGTAGACTTATTCTATTGACACAGCTAGGCAAAATACCTCTCTCTCTCTCTCTCTCTCTCTCTGTGTGTGTGTGTGTGTGTTCCTAAATTTCCTAGCTGAAATTTCCTTCCACTGAGGTTACATTTGCTTATTAAACTGATCATTAAATTAACTTATTAAACTGTCTTTTAATAAGCTCAAGGAGACTGTATTACAGTTTTGTTATTACATTCGCTTAATCATCTGGGTATATTCAATAACTTGATTAAATTTTAATAAATTTAAATAATCAAAGAAACTTTCTAGGCAGTAAATAGAACAAGACTCAGAACTTTCTTCATAGAAAAGTAATCAGAACGAAAAGCAAGAGTCTAAATGTATAAAGCAGCAATAAAAGATAGATTGGCAAAATCTTGTCAAACTAGTGAATCTCTAAGATACAGTCTTGGAAATTCCTGACATTATAATGTTAATAATTAATAATCAATCAATTAAAATTCGAGTTCACAACATGGAATGCTGTGAACCTCTGTAAGATAGACTGAAATATTGTAAGATTTTGATATTATACAAATATGACACAATGGGATTCAGAGCCAAAAATAATTGCCCCTTCTGCAGTTAAAATTAAAGCTTCAGTCCTATTAATAAATAGTCCTCAACTTACGAACATAATAATATCTGGAATTACTTATGACCTGGTCCAAAGTTCTGATGGCCACTCCCCCTTGCAGTCATGTGACTGCATGTGGAACACTTGGCAATCAGTCTGCATTTACAATCATTTGCACTGTCTCTTGGTCACATTTTGCAATGGTTTTGCCAAAAACTGGCATTTATTTCTGGTTTTTGGCAAAACTGGCCCATAGTGAATTGGTTTGCTTAATGAGGGCTGCAAAAAAGGTCATAAATTCAGGTTAGTCATGTGGGTGACCAGACTTACAGTCATAGATCAAAGTCTAACTGTATTATAAAGGGACACTAAAGCCCTTAAGTTGCTATATGGAGAGGATTGCAATCTGATAGTTAATAGTCTTCCCTATGAAGGTAATTATATTTAAATTATTTCCATGAGCATATGTAGATTAGTATGCATGTAAATATTATGCAAATCTGTGTCATTTTTGCCCTCTTCTCCTTTTGATAACATGCATCTTATGTTGTGTTGCATAACAGATTTACCTTAATAGAACGCTGACCAAAAGCCTTTGTCAATGACTTACAATCCACATCAGCATCCAAATGCTTAAAAATAATGCTTGGCACAAAAAAAGGAGAATTTTAGCAATTCCACATTTTGCTCTAACAATAATTCATATTTTAGTAAGTTCAGCAGATCCAAATCCCAAACCTAAGCCACTTGTCAAAATATTTCGAAGCGTGCAATTTTCACACAATTTAAGATAAACTTTTGAATTGTGCCACAGACCCAAACCCTGTAATTTGGGCTCACAGCTAGAATTGCCGCTTTTTCCCTCCCTCTCTGTTTGTGAGCCTTAAACACAGATCTGAAGCAGATGGTGAAGTTTATTTCTATTTTGAGATTCCTGCAAATCCAACTGCTAAGCACAGGCTAGTTTTCCCCTTAAGCAGTTGCTAGAAGCCCCCTCCCCAGTTCCCAAATTACTGCCCTTTCCTCCCACCCCTCACCCGGCTGATGAGCTCCTCCCTCTCCCCCCTCCCCCCAGCTGTCCCAAGGCCTGAAAGTGAAATTGCTGGTTGGCTGGCTATTAATCTCTCTGTTGTTTTTATGAGGCCCTCCCACCTCTTCTTCCCTGGGGTGCCCATTAAGGATCAAAGGTTAATTAATGCAGAGCAGACCGTGACCAGAGTTATTTTGACCCCATGTGGCCAGGTGGTCCCAAAGTCCTGATATACAAGATGTGATGAAAGGGGGATACAGCCCAGGAATTTAGAAGATTATGAGGCGTGGCGGGTGAGAGGACCGGAGCTAAGAAAGAGGAGACTGTGGGGACTTGACCTTCTCAGGGTCAGCTGGGGGGGAGGGTAAATTTAAGGGAAAGTTGAATTGTTTGAATCAATGTACGTGACATTTATTTATTTATTTATTTATTTATTTAACAATTCAAGGCAGCAAACATATTTATTTTATATTTGTAATCTCAAGGCAGCAAACATCCAACACACCTTCCTCCACAACAATCCTGTGAGATGGCTTGGGCTGAGAGAAAGGGACTAGCCCAAAGTCACCCAGACGACTTTTATACCTAAGATGGAACTAGAATTTACCATCTCCTAGTGATTGGCCCAAAGTCAACCAACCAGCTTTCATGCCTAAGGCGGGACTAGAACTCACCATCTGCTAATGATTGACTCAAAGTCGCCTAGATAGCTTTCATGCGTAAGGAGAAACTAGAACTCACCTATTTTCTAGCCTATGCTTTAACCACTACACCAAATTGGCTCTCAATTTCTTAATTATTTTTTATTATCGATTTTAAAATCAATTTCTTCCTTAATAAAAACAAACATTTCTTAACAAAATTATTCTCTTGCCTTACATTTCCTATTTATGTACAATAAATTTATCCTGTTATTGTCAACCCCAGAGTCACTTGGCATGCAAGTCAACCAGGCTGAAACCCCGATGTGCATTTCCTGTTTGCAGAACCCTTGGGCTAGCATTTGATGTATTCAAATCTTCACACAGTTTTATAAGGCGATCTCAGTTTAGCCTACCTTGCACGGTTGTTTTCAAGATGAACTGGGCAGAATAGAATGGCATATCTTCATAGCCTTACATTTTGGAGAACAAAGGCAAAATATAAGAGAAACAATAGCAACCAGTATCAGGAAGAAGAGTTTTGGAGGGAAATTCTAGGCGTTCAATCCCTTGATGGTGAGATGGGTGGCATGCAAATTTAATAAATTAAAAAATAATAATTGAAAATTATGGAAATGCTATGATTTCTAGTTTTCTTATAGGGTCACTAATATTTTAAACAATATTATTTGAATCTGCACACTTATTTCATGATCTTAGATATACCCTTTCATCTCCCTGATACAAAGATATCGCAAAGAGATTCATCAACCCACAAATTAGTACTTTGGATCATTTCCATACTGAAATTCTTCTCACTTTCCATGATCCCACGAGCTGCTTTAAAGTGCCAGAATGGTCTTCACTGCTGTCAGTTTCAGTGGCCTGAAAGCAGGCTATGAATAATCTATACTCATTTGGCTGACCAATAGCTGGCTGCAGATAGGAAGCTAATTGCTTTCCTATTTGTAGAGTGGTTCCTTTCTTCAATGGTTTTTAGATAAATCAACACTAAAAAAAACCCCTTTCTACTAAAGAGTCACAAGAAGAAATCTGCTTTCAAGTTAAACTCATAGGCTCTTCTTACTCAGTATTATTTAGACCAATGTTTCCAACCTTGGCAATTTTAAGATATGGGGACTTCAGCTTTCAAAATTCCTCAGTGAGCATAGCTGGTTGAGGAATTCTGGGAATTGAAGTCCCCCTATTTTAAAGTTGCCCAATTGGGAAACATTGGTCTAGATGCTGGCTGAGGAAAACAGGAAATAGAGTCCAATGCAGGTCTACAGGGATTATATTAGTGAGAGATGGTCTATCCAACACAAGCTCACCAATGAAAGAATAATAAGGAACGGGCATTAAATATGAAAGAGAACATTGGAAGTATATCAGAAAAGACAGAAGCTAAATTGCCTCCATCTTCTGATTAAAAAAACATTTCAGGATGCTAATTGGAAGTTAAGTGCAGACTGCATTTCTCTACCCATTGCAACTTTTATTTATGCTGTAGCAATGTTCATATACTGTGCTAAACCATAATGTGGTTTCTTCTGTTCATTGTATAGTGAAGCCAGCCCATTGTGATGAGTTCAGCCAATTATGAGCCACAGCTGAGCACAATGGGGAACGTTTCAATAGAAGAGTCATAGGCTTTGTGAGGTCATGGTTATGAAGTCACTGCTTTGCTGTTCAAGGCCCCCTCCAGCAGCTGACAGGGCAAGATATTGTCATGTCTTGGTTAGAGTTTGGGCTCCTGACCATGGTCATCACAGGATCTCAGGGCTGTTTAAAATGTAGCAAAGAAGCCATAGCACTTCAAGAAGACTTCAAAAATAGCTACCTGGAAAACAAACTCCAAAGGGACCCTGAACTCAAAACAAAATTGCAGCAGCTCCTGGACAATATCATGGAGACGCTATCGAATCAGCCCATAGATCGAAAAAAATATATGGGTAGTATTGGTATGAATGCATTCCTTCCAGTAGCTCTCCAAGATTTAAATTTGTCAGAAGTGGATCAGACTCAGAGCCTTTTTGGACAGACTTAAATCTACATCCTGGCTCTGTGAGCATTTTTAAGGGCAGGATTTGAAATTTTACATATATGGTAACCTATATATGGAACAAAGAGGTCACGTTACCAAATTATACTAATTTATAAGATTAATATTTTGGAGCAGGAGGCGTAATCTGAAGGCTCTCCTTTGATTTTCTCATATCAGGGCATATTTCTCAACCCTGACAACTTGAAGATGCCTGGACTTCAACTTCCAGAATTCCCCATGGCTATCTGGGGAATTCTGGAAGTTGAACTCCATGCATCTTCAAGTTGTCAAGGTTGAGAAACACTGTGCTATGACAACCTCATCTTCAAACATTGGCAGGACCAAATTAGAGAAATTGCCATATTTTATAGGCACATATTATAAATGGATTGTGTTTTTTTGTGGGACCACTTATCTCTGTTTGTCCCACCAGACTGGATAAAGTCAGCATGCCCCAGATCTCCTCTCTGTCTTAAACGGTGTCATCCTGTGGGATGAAACCAACATTTCTTCTCTTTCATGGTGCCTGAGATTTAGAGGTCCTGGGCCTTCTTGGTTTTTGAGAAAGCCACAGAGACCTGGCCTTTCCCGTAGGTCTTCATAGGACGGACCAAGATTTAGAGAAGCCTCATACTCATGTATATATAGTATGTTATATGGTGTCTCAGGGAGGGGTTTTTTTGTATTGGATTATTTTTAACTATTCTGTGGTAGGCTTTTATATTGGTTTTTGTAAACTGGTTGTTATCTGTCCAGATTTATGTACTTAAGATAGGCGACCTTATAGGCTTCCTAGATAAATAAAACAAATAAACTGAATAGAAAAGGCAAATAGAAAAATCAGAGGGTGAACTGCCTTGATGGATGAAAAAAAAGCCTTAAAAAACATAAATCCTGATGACACTTGCTTTGACAGGCTGGGCAGCGAAGGGAGAATAGAAGCTGAAGATATCATATTGAATGAATGAGGTGATTAAAAAAAACCTTTTAAGATGAACCCTTTTTTGAGACCAGATTTGGAGATGAGAAATCTAAAGGAACAGACTGGAGACTCCTTTCCTTTCCTTTGACCATATTCCTATTTCATGCAAGCAATTTAAATAATGTAATCTTGCATCATGGTTTGCATTGCATTTAAGCACTGATCTTAAAGCCCCAGTTCAAATTGAGCTCTAGTCATGCTTAGGATGCCCACTCAAATAAATGCAACCAGGGGCTTGCAAGATGATTGCTGTGATGTCTCATTTGTTTTTGAATGTGTGTACATTGGTATGGAACTGAAGTTAGTTATCCTAACTGAACTGATATTAGCCATCCGAACTGACAAGATCTGGATCCAGCCCTGGGTTCACCATCTGAATAGAATAGAATAGAATAGAATAGAATAGAATAGAATAGAATAGAACTGGAAGGGACCTTGGAGGTCTTCTTCCTGCTCAAGCAGGAGAACCTATATCAGATAAGTGAATGTTCAATCTCTTCTTAAAAATCTCCAGTGATGGAGCGCCCACGATTTCTGAAGGCAAGCTGTTCCACTGGTTAATTGTCTTCACTGTCAGCAAGTTTCTCCTTAATTCCAGGTTGCTTCTCTCTTTGATCAGTTTCCAACCATTGTTTCCTGTCCTGTCTTCTGGCTTTGGTGAATAACATGACTCCCTCTTCTTGGTGTCAGCCTCTCAGATACTGGAACACTGCTATCATGTCTCCCCTATTTCTTCTTTTCTTTAGATTAGCCAAACCCAAGTCCCGTAGCCATTCTTCATATGTTTTAGTCTCCAGGCTTTTGATCATCTTAGTGCTATTGTAGGTTTGCTATCAAACCCAGTAAACTGAATTGATGGTTTATTTTATATCTGATCATTTCTTCGAGGTTATAAATCATTGGAAAGTAATGTATGCACTTATGAAAATATATTAATGTGTTTTTGTGCCTGTGTGAGATAAACTTTCTGTGCTTCAAAATGTACTGAACATTTATATATTGTTAGTCCTCGACTTACAGCCATTCATTTAGGGACCATTTGAAGTTACAACAGCCCTGAAAAAAGCGACTTAAGACCATTTTTCATACTTAAGACCGTTGCAACATCCCAGTGGTCATGTGGTCAAAATTCGGACACTTGACAACTGGCATATGTTGATGATGGTTGCTGTGTCTTGGGGGGGTGTCATGTGATCCTCTTTTGCCACTTTCTGACAAGCAAAGTCCATGGGGAAGCCAGATTCACTCAACAACCGTATTGTTAAAAGCTGCAGTGATTCACTTAACAACTGTCGCAAGAAAGTTAGTAAAATGGGACAAAACTCACTTAACAACAGTCTTGCTTATCAATGGAAATTTTGGACTCTACTTGAATCATAAGTCGAGAACTACCTGTAGTAGGGATAATAATAATCAGTTTCCTAATGGATTCAGACTTTGCATGAAAATCTTTAAGGAAATGCTTGGAGAGATTTACACATAACACAAAGCTACGATTTTGAACCCCTGATTTGGACTTTGCTGCACTCTAAGCATAAATTACAATGGGTCCACAAAACACTATCTTAAAATGAATCCAGCAATGTTTGCTTTAATGTTTGTTTGAATCAGAAAACTTTTGGAAATAGTGTTTATATTTGCAGACCTATAAATTCACAAAGGGACACAAAGGAGTGGAAGCTGTGGGCTGAGGTTTAGATATGGAGAACTGATTTAAACAAGATTTCTTAAGACAAATGCATGAGCAGGGAGGAAGGAAACTGGCTATATTTCTTTTACCTAAAATTGTTCCTCTTTTCCATTATTTTCAGATGAATTAACACTAAAAAAACTCACTGTCTACTTCAAACGCTCTCTGAACCAGATCAAGGAAAATAACTTTGAAGGTAGAGGCCTGATAAAAGGAATGGTACTGTATGGGCATAAAAGAAATGCATAAGACTGGTTCCTCTTGAAGGGCACTCAAGATTATTTTGAGTTTAGATATACTGCAATCCATTAAGAACAGGGTTAGTGGTGCAAGGTCCTCCACATACCTCAAAAAAGCTTTCCTTGGCTTCCCAATTCACCCATCGTGGCCTGTTTGCTGCTCTTGTCTAAAGTCATCATCATAATGTATTCCAATGTATTATTTTCTTTCTCTTGGAATTAACTAAGCAGCACCATCTGCTGGTTTTGTGAAATTCCCTTACCCAAAGGAAGAAAGGATTTCCCCCATTCATATTCCCCAATTCCCTTTCCTCCCCTTCCCTCCACATTAGCAATTTTTAACATGCACTTTAAAGGCAATTCTAGTCTAATAATCTGGTTCTCACAAGTAGTGACTAACATTGGCTAGGTTTAAAGTCACACACTGGAATAGCAAAAGATTATAAAGAGGGAGGAAGCCAAGCCAAGATCACAATTTGTTCACTCTCTCCAAAAGACCCTCTTCTTTAGACAATGGTTTAAGTACCCCAGATAAAGCCTCCATAGTGAAGCCATCTCATGATTGGTGATTAAGGCCTCACTGTAGGTTTACAACAAAGCCAGTGGAAACTGGAGTGAACCTAGCCAGAGAATTTGCTCTCATGAATCAACAAACTCACATATGGATAACATATGATGTCCTTGTAAAGAGAAAATGATCTATGCTGGGAGGTGAGGAAGGTGAAGATATAAATGATCCTCCATCGCTAGGCTCAACAACTGGATACTCTAATGAATCACTAAGATTGAGTTTGCTATTCTTAACAGACATATTTAGCAAATAACAACGGGATCTCCACAGACTGTAGAACAGTGATGGCGAACCTTTTAGAGATCGAGTGCCCAAACTGCAACCCAAAACCCACTTATTTATTGCCGGGTGCCAGGGCGGCGTGGCCCACTGGATGGGCGTGGCTGTGGTGGTCATAGCAGATTGGGTGGGAGTGGCCAAGGTAGGCGTGATCACCTCGATGTTGCTCGTGGGGAGGGATGTCTGTGGGGGCTGGGCAGGGTTGGGGGAGATCCAGGGGGTCTCTGGCAGGTGGGACGGTGGGCAGGAGGCTCGTCCTGCGGGATGAGGCGAGGCAAGGCAAGGCAGGGCGGGGGTGCCATTGTCACAGGGAAAGGTGAGGCAGGGGCCGGGGTGAGTGCTGCCTGACACCATCGGCCCCTGCACACAAAGGCCAGCGAGTGCATGGGTGCTGGGATGCATCCGGCCATGTGGGACCTCGGCCAGTTAGCGGGCGGCTGGTTGAAGAGGGACGGTTGTCATTTCCGGGGCATGGTGTGCGTGCCCACAGAGAGGACTCTGAGTGCTGCCTCTGGCACGCGTGCCATAGGTTCGCCACCACTGCTGTAGAAGAAGTCCCTGTATCGTTTCTCAAAAGCGCATAAACTCAGCTGGCCTTCTAGGGATTCCAGAGAAGCGCACTTAGTCAGGTGGAAAGAAAATGCAGGTTGGTGCCTGCCGGGTTTAGGACTACCTCTAAGTCTTTTATTGAGCTGCCCCGATGTTAAATTTATTTCATAGAATGCTTTTCACCAACAAGACCAGGTCCCAGAGCCCAGGTTACAACTTTTCCGTAACACCCTCTTGTATCTTCCTTCTTTTTGGCAGGTGAGCAGCTTTTCAATGAATTGATGTGGAGCCTCCAGAAACTGGTGTCTTATTTTCAAGAGGTCATGCCACAAGTTGCAAAACGTAAGCTCTATTTACTTCTACAAAGGAAAAAAAAAGGAGGATGTAGTTCTCAGTTTAAATAACCAGGTGCTAATCTGTGTTTTGCCATCAACATAATCTGAGGGTTCCCCATAATGTTCTCTTTATTGCTGGCTGCTGCCAATTTGCCCATTCTGGTAAGCTGTCCCATTTTAGTTGCTGAAAGTAAACTTTCCAAAACTATGACTTCCAAGAATTTGTGAGATTCCCACAACCACAGAAGGATTGAATTGGTTTGAAAGAGAAATGAAATTCCTTAAATTCTGAAACTTTCCTACTTTACTAATTGCTGTATACTAAGGCGGGGTTTTCCCAACCTTGGCAATTGAACTCCTAGTATTCCAAGGACCTGCTGGCTGCTGAATTCTGGGAATTGAAATCCATGCGTCTTAAAGTTGCCAAGGCTGTGAAACCCTGTACTTAGGGTTCTTCTTCACAATAGTGCCATAGTTCAGTATACTTTGACCTTCTCTTTTGTCTCTCTAATGGAGCAGAACTGGGTTTTGTCCAAAATGACAAGTGGGAGGGGGGTTTGAGAGGCAGAGAGCAAACTGAGAGTGAATACTTCATTTAATGTCAGTTACAGACAGCAGAAGACCCACAGGTCTCTAGCAACAAAGAAGCCATCTCCACCTACTTTTCTCTCTTCCTCTGATTGATCTGTGACTGTATCATTTTGATACCGTCAACTGAAATTGATCTTGGTGGTTTGCTTGCTCGGTCATTACTTGCTCAAACTGATGTTAAAATGTCAACTTCAAGTACCAGTTCAAAACCACTAGGTAGGGAATTGGGGCTGGAGGAGATCAACCATCTGTTGCTAATGACCTTCTTTGTTTCTCCTTTTGGTTTGTAGTCTATTGCAGCAACGAATGTGGTGAGTATCAAATTGGTTAAAATGAATGGTGGGTTGTTTTGAAGTGTGATTTTCCTCATCTGATCAGGGTTAGTGGTCATATTCTCCTCTTGTTCCCCCCTCCTCACAAGTCTTATTCTATATTTGGTCCTGAACATAATTAGAACTGTTTCAAGAGGAAGGAAGGAAGGAAGGAAGGAAGGAAGGAAGGAAGGAAGGAAGGAAGGAAGGAAGGAAGGAAGGAAGTGTTATGAACTGGGCCGGCAGGCGCAGGCTGCAGCGATTGGCCCGGGCAGACCACGTGGATGCCCGGGACCAGAAAGGCTGTTCCCAGCCTTGCGCACATCCGCAAGGCGGGAAAATCCCTTGCAACAATTGGCCAGCAAGGTTCTGTGCAGGGGACTATAAAAGGGAACTGCACCATTGTGTAATATGTTCTGTTGGTGTTGCAATAAAGAATAACTGTTTTGGAACTCGTTACTTCGTCTCAATGCCTCTTTCCTGAGAACAGGAAGGAAGGAAGGAAGGAAGGAAGGAAGGAAGGAAGGAAGGAAGGAAGGAAGGAAGGAAGGAAGGAAGGAAGGAAGGATTAGTTTCAACTCCAGTTTATATACTTTCGTATCTGTTACCTTTAACTGGGCAAAACAGTGTATCATTGGGCAACAATTTTTAACTGAGGTACCTCAAATGGACTCACAGAATGCGTTCAAAATCTGGGAGTCAAGATTCTTGTGGAACTGAAATTTGGCAAATGTTATAAAACACTTTATGACACAAAAATTATGATAAAGCATTTTTTTGACATTACTGCACAAAATGTCATAAATCATTTCCTGTGGTCAACTTGTGATGTTTGACTGTGCTATACGGTTGGCTACTTTCAAGGCAGATACACCTGTGAATCTCTTCCTGAATTTTTAAGAATTTTTCACGTCTTTTAGAAGCTTTGCCATTATTGAAGGCATTGAAGAATCTGGATAAGGAAGTATCTCCGAAATGATGACCCAAGGAGTCACAGGTTGTCTAGTTTCAATTATAAGTCAGAATTCTGGTGCATCCTATTCAGTGTCACCTACTACAAATGGCATTTTCAGTCTCCAACGGAGAAAGCAAATGTATCAAACTACATTTTGCTGTGCCATTTTTCATGTTCTTGTACTGACTGCACATCAGATTTCTAAAGAGGGTTCTGAATGATTCTGAATGGTTCTTCTCATTATTTTCCTGTACATTTTGGCAAGCAAGCTATTTTCCCCATAATATAATGCCTTTCTGTGAATTCTTTGTCATTGTATGTGGTTTTGAACAGAGTTTTTGAGTTGCAAATGACCTTTTAGCAAAAAAAAAAAAAAAAAGAGGAACTGAGTCCAGGATCTTCTGTATCTAAAACTGAGCAGTGTGAACAATACTTTTCTGGAAAAATACTACTAGGTCTACACATCAGTCCTGTGTGGTTTTGCCTTTAACAGCAAGATCATAGAACCATAAGGCTGGCAGGGATCCTCATGTCCACTCTTCTGGTTTTCTTCTGCTTTGCACTCAGCAAGTTAGCTTTTCCCTTCTGGTCCTCTGATTCAACTCCATTTCTACAGGTCAGATGATTTATATTTTCATCAGTTGCTTCTCATGTGTTACAAATCAGTACAGCTGCACCAAGAACGTCAAGTGTGGAGGTGAGTGTTGGTAGGTAGGGCAGACCCCAAATCGACTCATGCAGTTTTAAGCTGGGTTAGTAGATAACAGGACCTGGTTGGATTGAGAGGTAAAGAATCCAGTCTAAGCCCTGTCTAAATTGTGGGTCCATGAAATTTTTGTTAGCTTTAAATGATGGCAAGGTTCTTCCCCCGGTGTGCCTCTGCCAAAAATTGGGTCCAAGCCAGAAAGGTATATATGTAGCTATATATGTACTATGTGACAGTTCATTGTTGTTGTTGTTAATTGCGAAGTCGTGTCCGACCCATCGCGACCCCATGGACAACGTTCCTCCACATCTTCCTGTCCTCTACCATCTTCTGGAGTCCATTTAAGTTCACGCCTACTGCTTCAGTGACTCCATCCAGCCACCTCATTCTCTGTCGTCCCCTTCTTCTATTGCCCTCAATCTTTCCCAACATTAGGCTCTTCTCCAGTGAGTCCTTCCTTCTCATTAGGTGGCCAAAGTACTTGAGTTTCAACTTCAGGATCTGGCCTTCTAAAGAGCAGTCAGGGTTGATCTCCTCTAGGACTGACCGGTTTGAACGCCTTGCAGTCCAGGGGACTCGCAGGACTCTTCTCCAGCACCATAGTTCAAAGGCCTCAATTCTTTGGCGCTCAGCCTTTCTTATAGTCCAACTTTCACATCCCGTAATATTCTTAGCATGATTTGTTAATGATCAATTGCATATTCAGTAGGTGAGGTTTTTACATTATAATGAGTTTTTAGGTTATTAAAGTTCAAATGTTTGGACAATTCTTGTCTCTGGCCAGTTTGACCAGATCCTTATCAGAATTTCACACTCTTGCTTATTACTCCAAAGAAGTAGAAACATTAATCAAAGGCGAGACTTGTTACTGAAAATATCACTTAAAGGGTCCTCTTTGCCTTCTCCCATCATTTCCAGGCAGGGTAACTAGTCAAGAAAGCCCAGTAAAGGTATAATTTAAGGTAGCAGCTGTTGGCATGGCCTGACAGTAGAATTATAACATGCTGAATTTTGCAGAACGGAAAGTTCAAGTGGAAAAAGATGAAGATTTGATTTTGGACTGTGCTCTAAAATGGCATAAGGCAAGCCACGGAGTGAAGACATACAGGTTCTACAGGGTAAGTACTGTCTCCAACAAGCAGTTTGTCTATTACCCTATTCCCTTCGTCTCTTTAGCTTTTGAGTTTGACTTTCCAAACTGAAGCAGTATGTTGAATGATCCTACTCTACAGTAGAGAGCTTGTACTGCCACCCATTCTTTCATGCTGAATGGCAACAACTTTGTTAAGTAGATACAGAAATGATGTGGACCTATTCTTCTCAGATGGTGGGGAACAAGGAGGAGCTAATGGCCAGTGGGGCAGATTCCTTTCTGACCAAGAAAGACGCCAACGAGAAAGATGCAGGCATATACCGATGTAAAATGGTGGACACAAGTGGCTATACTTCCAGCCAGCTCGACTTTCAAGTTGTGGGTGAGTGAAGTGAATCAGGACTGGAACATGTCCCCAGAAGCTTCATATTGGGGTTCGGTTTGGAGGACCTTTTTCCCCAAAGGGGTAGCCTTTCAACTGTGTTTGCTAGCTTTTGAGCCTAGAAAGCATAGAAGGTTAGCAAACACAAACATTTGGGAGGCCAGGAAGATGCCTTTCCTAGCACCTTGCACCATACTCCAAGTAGGCGGCATTCTCATGATTGTTTGGAAGGCCCTTCTCCAAATAGACTCGCAGTGTTTCTCAACCTTGGCAACTTTACGATGTGTGGACTTCAACTCCCAGAATTCTCCAGCTAGCAACGCTAGCTGAAGAATTCTGGGAGTTAAAGTCCACACATCGTAAAGTTGCCAAGGTTGAGAAACACTGATTAAATAGAGCAAGAATGGCACATGCTTGTACAATGGCATGAAGTGGCCTCTTTAGGAAGGCCACATCTCTCATTCGCTGGGTACTCCTGTCAGCAACTGTAGAGAAATGTGAAGGTAAATATGCTGTTGGTCTTATAACTATGGTGAGGCCTGCTGGGTGTAGGGGAATGGGGAACAGGCCTGGGCCTCCAGTGCCATCCAGCTTGCATGCACTGGTGGGCTGAGCGGATAGCTGAAATAAGAGGGAGAGATAGATGGGTAGGGCAGGCAGACTGCCAAACACCAAAGTTTCATCACATGACCATGAGTGCACCGCAATGGCCATAACTTCAAGTACAGGTCATGTCCCTTTGTTCAGCACTGTTGTAATTTTGAATGGTCACTGAACAGTCATTAAATGAGGACTATCTGTAATATTCCTATAGTACACATGGGCTTGGATGAACTCTGTCATGCTGTATAGCAAGATTAATTAGAAGGAAATTCTGCCAACCTCAGTGAGACTCATTCTGTAACATGGGGATGGTGCCCACCTTAGGGGTATGATTCCTAGGCTGCAAAACTTTAGGTAGCCACTAGATGGCAATAAAGAATCATCAAGACCTCTGAATCTGCTGCCGTCTACTGGTCATTGTTTTTTATACCCCCTGTGAAATTCTTTGGAGGGTATAGCATTTGTGAGCAAGACAGATTGTGGACTGTGGGCACATACAGAGGCCACCCATAAGAGATGCTGTTTCTTAATTTCTACTCGAGATGGAGAAACTGTGACTGTGATATAGAACAGGGGTGTCAAACTGCCGGCCCATGGGCCGGATGCGTCATCCTAAAACTGCACCAACCCCATTGCCAGCAATGGAGAAAAAGCTCCGATATGTCGTGTGACGTTGCGAGTTTGACATGCCTGATATAGAAGAAAGACTGTAACAATATTCTTCTCTCGGTGAAAATAAATCCACTGAGCAATGGAAGATTCAGCTGAGACTGCCTGGATGTAGAACACCTGAGCCTAACAACTTGCTTGCCTACCTGCCTCCTAGCACAGACGTAAGCTTGTAGCTTTAGTCTGTGAAATCAAAGTTTGGGCTCTAGGGAACTGGTTTTTAATGGTTGATTAAATCCTCACTTCCTTGCCTTTCATTAAGAGTTCTGAAGGGGGAAAAAAACAAGACATCTCTACATAGTTTGTGCAGAGGTGGCTGCAGCTGACCTCGGGGGTATCTGCAGGGAGGAGGTTAAAAAGGTTTAGATGGTTGGCTCAACCATGTGATTAAAGCCCTGCTCTTTTTACAAGCATTGCAATATAAAAAATATACCCCTGGGCCATCTTTAGAGACTCCTTTTCAACCTTGTGATAATGAAGAGAGCATTTCTCTTCTCAGGTGGAGTCCGTCCGTCTGCCTTTTAAATACCAGATATGTTTTCCTTTAAAGTAGGTTGCTTTTTGTCAGTTTCAAGCCATTCACCTAAACCAGGGGTAGGCAACTTTGGCTCTTTTATGACTCGTGGACTTCAACTCCCAGAATTCCTGAGCCAGCCATGCTGAGGGGAAAGGGAGAGGTTTCCAAGCTGAGCCATGCTGGCTCAGGAATTCTGGGAGTTGAAGTCCATGAGTCATAAAAGAGCCAAGGTTGCCTACCCCTGACCTAACCAGTTGACTAGTGCAGGGCTTTTCAACCTTTTCACCCACTGTACCACTTTTAGGATATGGCAGTATCCGAGTACCACCAATCGCCTAGCAACGTGTCAAAAACTTTATGACCCCCCCCCAAAAAGGAAAAAAGTGATAAAGTACAGGTAGTCCTTGACTTACAACAGTTCGCTTAGTGACTGTTCGAAGTTACAATGGCACTGAAAAAAGTGCCCCCCTAGCCACAGCCGAGCAAGACATCTGCCTGCGCAACCCAGCGGCGCTCTTCCTCCTGTCCAAGGTTTTCATTGTTGTGAGCATTTCTGTTGAGGATTGGCAGCGGGGGTGGGGGGGTGTTTGGTTTTTATTCCCCCTGTCTGCTGGGTGGTTGCAGCAGGTTTTGGTCACTTCACATGACCCTGGGACACTGACCGTCATAAATATGAATCAGTTGCCAAGCATCTGAATGTAAATCATAAGACCCTGGAGATGCTGCAACATTCCAGCTGTTTGGCGCTTCTTCTGGGCTCAGCAGAAGCACCAGGATCAGCACCGAGCTCCGCTGAGCCCTGACAGCCCTGCAGCTCCAGCCGTCTCTCGCTCAGGCTTCTGCGGTGCTGCCACTGGTTCAGCTCATTCCCCTCCCCCGCTACCACTTTTCTAGGATGGTCGCGTACCACCTGCCAGGTGCCAATGTACCACAGGTGGTACCCGTACCACTGGTTGAAAAGCCTTAGACTAGGGATTGAAGTTTAAAGAGATAGAATTCCTTTGAGAATTCTATCCTTCCTCTGAGAAAAAGGAGCCCAAACTCTTAATCCCCACCTTGACGTCTCTTTATTTCCCATCTTGTCCTTTTCTTCTTTCAGTGCTACCTTCAAAAGAGAACACCACCTGGTTTGTTCCCCCACCACCGCTGGTTCCACCGCCATCATCGTTTCCACCACCGCCATCTTCAATGTTGTCACCACTACCTGTGACAGTGAAAAACCCTCTCACTCTAGGGATTTCTTCCAGGGCTCCACCCCCTGAAGCTGATTGGACAGCTTGGAAAGTGAGCGTGATTACAGGAGGTGTGCTGTTCTTCATTGTTGTTGCTTTGTGAGTCTCACCACTTTAAAATTGAGTAGCCTCGTTTGCATTTGGTGGGGATAAATGGAAGTAGATAACATGAAGACATTTAGTACATTCCAGGTGTTTTGGAACTATGAATCTCAGAGGCTGTCACATCTGGGCAGCAGTTGGTGGGAAAAGGCTGCCATAGCCATCCCTGTCTCCCACCTCTGAAGTGTGCTTTTTTTCCCTCCATTCAATTGAATCTGATTCTTGGAGACTGCCTGGTCAGGTTCCTGCAGTTTTCTTGGCAGTTTTTTCAGAAGTGGTTACAACATAGAACATAGAATAATAGGGTTGGGAGAGCCTCTAGTCCAACTTCCTGTTCAAGCTGGAGACCCAATACCATTCCAGACAAATAGCTGTCCAGTGTGTTCTTGAAAACCTACAGTGATGGAGCAGCTATAGCTTCCAGGGGCAAGTACTGATTAATTGTTCTCACTGACAGGAAATTTCTCCCTAGTTCTAGGTAGAATCTTGGATAATCTTCCACCCGTTACTTCTTGTCCTGCCTTCAGGTGCTTTGGAAAATAGGTCGACCCCCCCTTCTCTGTGACAGCCCCTCAGATATTGAAGACTGCTATCATAATCACCCCTAGTCCTTTTCTTTGTTAGATTAGACATACGTAGTTCCCTCAAATTGTTCATCACATGGTTTACCTTCCAGACCCCTCATCATCTTCGTTTGGTTTGCCATTGCCTCCTTCCCAGGGCTGAGAGAAGGTGACTGGTCCAAGGTCACTCAGTCGGCATTGTGCTTAAGGTGTGACTCATGGACCTCTTGTTTCTAGTCTGATGCCTTAAGCACTATACCGACCTGGCTCACTGAAATGCCCATAGACATCTGAAACAGTATGATGTCCTAAACCAGTGGTTCTCAACCTTTTTAATGCCGCGACCCCAACCGGTCGTAAGTCGAGGACTAAACCGGTCGTAAGTCGAGGACTACCCAACCGGTTGTAAGTCGAGGACTTTCCCTGCCTGGGAGCACCGCGCATGCATGGTTCCGCCCCCTGCGCCGGCCGAGGCGTAGCTGGGAAGCGGCAGAGACAGAACAGGCCGACCACCAGCTGGCCCAGCTCAAGGGAGGTAAGGCACCCGCCGGAAAAGGAGAAAAAAAATGGCGGACAGCCTTGCTTGGCGACCCCCGTGAAATGGTCGATCGACCCCAAATGGGGTCGCGACCCATAGGTTGAGAACCGCTGTCCTAAACAAACTTATTTTGTTATTTTAAAAATAGGTCTATGGTAGTTTCAAAGCAGAATTGGGCTTCTGATAGGATGGACCATATCATTCTGAGCCTACACCAGGGGTCTTCAAACTTGGCCCTTTTATGACTTGTGGACTTCAACTCCCAGAACTCCTCAGCCAGGCACACTGGCTGAGGAATTCTGGGAGCTGAAGTCCACAAGTCATAAAAGGGCCAAGTTTGAAGACCCCTGGCCTACACTGACCTGCCCATTGCAGATTAAGGAAATTGCGATTCAATTTCCCCAATGGAAACTATAAAACCAATTTTCTCAAAATGATGTCCTTCAGGGGTCTCTCTATTCCCAGAGAGGTATGTTTATGTTTAACCTACTTTGAGGACATCAGTCTGAGGCAGGAGAAAACAAGGGATGAGGTGCTACTTTCTGGTGGGACCATGGTGAAAAATCAGTAATGGTAGACAAACTTCAATAGAACACACGTCCTCAATTTACAACCAGTCGTTTAACAATGGTTTGAGTTACATCAGCTTTGAAAAAGGTGCTTTACGGTGCATAAAGCACTTCTGGCCATTGTAAAATATCACTCCCTGGTCACATGACTGCATTTCGGGTGCTTATCAACAGTTTGAATTTATATCTGGTTGCAGCATCCATAGTCATGAGTGACTGGTTTGAGTTTCCAGCAAAAAGCGCCCATCTGAGAGAATGGATTTGCTTAAGACATGTGATTCAGGTTAATGACCACAGGATTTGCTTAGCGTCCACCATAAAAACAGTGAAAAAAATCAGATCTGATCCTGTGGGTGCCTCGACTTACAACACCAATGACTTATGTCCATCATTTTGATTCTAATTATAGTCATAAGTGGAGAACTACCTGTAGATTTTTTTTTTAAGGTAACAAACATTTTGTGCTTATACCCAGGATATGCAATCTGTTTTAGGCAGGAAACTGAGTCTCCCACCCCCATCCCATTATTGAAATATGCACAAAATAATTTGGGCAAAGTAATAATATGACCCAGCAGGCACAGCCAGTATTGTAGATGAATTAAAGGCATATCCTAGATTTTTTCCTTGCATTCTCTGAAGCTGATATGTGTAAGAGCTTCATCAGTAAAAAAAGAGATTGCTGGTGGAATTCAACAAGGCTAGAAAACTTAAAATCTGCCTCTACGTTCTGCTTCAGGGGTATCAAACTGGTGTCCTGCGGGCCAGATGGAACACACGCAGGCCACACCCACCCCGGCTCAGCAAAGTTGTGATACGTCATGATATGTCACATGATGCGATTGAGTTTGACACCCGTGTTCTTCTTCGTTTCCCACAGTGTTATCCCCTTTTTCCTTATAGCTTGTTTTATTATCGTCATATGGCTAAGAAAGAGGAGGAGGAAGATGAGGAGGAAGATGACAACAACAAGAGTGACAGTGACAGTGACAGTGACAGTGAGAGTGAATCAGAGAGTTAGTGGAAAATGTGAAATGTCCCCTGCCCCTCCTTCTTATCTTGAATTTTTATACTCTTATTTTGATTTATTTATCTGGATTTCATAAATATAGTGGATTTACTTTATTAAAGATTAGGATGTTATGGAAATCTAATTTCCATAATATCCAAATAGTTTCTTCTATTCCAGGACTGACCACAGTCAAATCTTCTCGTATATTTGTAAAAATAAAGTTCTGAAAAAATTGTTATGTTTCTGATTGGTTGGTGATTTATGTGTCACCAAATCCAAGTCAATTCTTAGCGATCTCATAGATAGTTGTTCTGGATGACCTGGCCCTTTTCTATGCATTTCCATGAATACAGAAATGGTTCAAACCAGCAGAGATTTTTAATCCTAGCTGTAATGTATTGGTCACAACTGTTTTGAATCACTTGCTTAATGTCTAATCACTTGTTTGAATGTCTGACCTAGATTCTGTTGTTATGTAACGACTGCTGTTACTTAAGCCAGACTTGCTATCTCCAGACTTGCTATCTCCAGGTAATTAGGTTTTGGGTGGGAAACTGTTACTTTAAACCTATTGGCTGCCGCCTGGAGGCTAACCATATAAATAGCTGCACAGCAGCTATTTTAGCTGCTTCTGTTCAGAGTTAAATAAACTTGTTGCTGTTTCAACACTCGTCTCGCTTAATGCTTTCAAGAACCGAATACTTAACACTAGCAACTTTAAGTTGTATGGACTTAACTCCCAGAATTCCCCAGCCAGCAAAGTCCACACATCTTAAAGTTGCCAGGTTTGAAAACATTTTTACATTTTACATTTATCACTTATAAATAAGGCACCATGACTCAACCTTGGCAACTTTAAGATGCTTGGATTTTAACTCTTCATAATTCCCCAGTCAGTTGGCTCAGGAATTCTGGGAGTTGAAGTCCACCAAGTCCAAGAAGTTGCCAAGGGTAAGAAACAGCAAAATAAGGTGTTGGGCTTTGATTGCATGGTGATGGATGCCCTCCTCACTTTTTTGACTCCCTCCCCACTCCAAGTGAACTTGCATTCCGAAAGCTAATAGAGTAACGAAGAAATATAATTGCAGAATTTTTGATTTTAAAATGCCCATCTTGTCCTACTTTCATAGATAATAAAGTGGGCTTGATTTATATAGATCTGCACATCCCTTCTAAAACCAAAAGCCCCAAATGTCTTGCAGTGTTTAAATGGTCTTTTGAAATGGCTGCCATACACATGCTAGAAAGGGGGGGGGGAAGCACAGTTGTGTGAGAAACACATTCAGTTTCCAAGAGTGAAGCAGCAAGCAGTTTATTGAAAAATATGTTCTAGCAAGTAGGCATATCCAAAAATAGATTTCAACGGCATTTTATTCCCTCAGCATGAAGCACAAGTCCCTCCCTTGCAATCCCATTTTGATAAGTTTACACCCTATCTGGAATGGCTAAAATTCCCTCATGTGAATCCCCTACCCGTGTCTTACCTGTGTTCACTCTCTAAGTTAATTTCTCTATTAGCAGTGTGTGTATGTGCAGTTTTGCCTCGCCCACAGGTCCTGTTTTCTTGGAACCAATTTGCGTAGGCATAAGCACTATTATTATGTGCAAGGTCTTACGGTTAAATTGTCAGCACAGACAGTTCCTGTTCTCCTAACCTTTGCTTTTACTTGTTATTCTAAGCCACATTCATTTTCCAAGTATTTGCTCTTAAAATGTATTAAACATGGTCTGATGCAAAAACAACACTTTGTTATTCCCTATAATTTCCCCCCTTTTCGTTTATACCCTAGTTTGCTTTTTGCAATTTTCCTAGAATGTTGTTCCATACGATCCTTCTCACCTTGACAACATCACGTCACACTCTCTGTCCTGATTACATCTACCTCCTTCTACCTTCTCTGTTCTTTCCTCTATTTCTTCTTCTTCTTTTAGAAGAAGCAGAGCTTCACTGTAGGTGGTTTTAAACCACTGGAGGTGGTTTTAAAGGCTTTTAATACCCCTACCACCACCACCACCACCACCAAAGATGAGAAGATTGGAACTACCGTAGCTTTCCACTTTCCAAACCATGAATCCAGCCAAAGAAGAATCTATTCCAGAGTTCTGAGCTAATTCTTCTGCCAGCTTAGTGAGACCTTGTAATACCTTAGTAATTTTTCCATCTGGTCCTGTGTTATTTGGAATAAAGGAGTACCTGCCTCTGACATTACACCCTAACATCTCCCTTTTTATTCCACAGGGCTCTTTTATTACCTTATCTTTCTCAAATGCCAGGGTGAAGGGGATTGCCAATTGGACAATCGCACAAGTACCTGCCCAGTTTGAGGGAAGAGTGTGTCTTAGAATTTTACCCCCGCAGTACCACCATAAATCAGCTCTAGGAATATCCATGCTGGAGTAATTCCTTTTTTCTGCTGCTGTGGTTCCATTTACTGTTTCTATACATGTTTCCAGTTCTCCTATCATCTTATCAGAATCCACCTCTTGACTTGTGAGGCGTGCAGCGTGGTTACCATAGGCTGCAGAGAATATAGGTGGTTTCTTAACAACCTGGCCCTTTATTGGTGGAAACAGAAGAGAAAGGGATTTGCAACTCTCATTTCCCCAGGCCGTTTTGTCTTGATAAAGAGCCAATATACATCTCATGCCACCTGAGTCTTTAGTCTATCCAAGCGGAAAGGGGGCCACTTAGGCCAGGGGTAGGCAACCTTGGCTCTTTTATGACTCGTGGACTTCAACTCCCAGAATTCCTGAGCCAGCCATGCCGAGGGGAAAGAGAGAAGTTTCCAAGCTGAGCCATGCTGGCTCAGGAATTCTGGGAGTTGAAGTCCACGAGTGATAAAAGAGCCAAGGTTGCCTACCCCTGACAGGCTACCGGTCTCCCCTGTGCACAGGTCTAGCAATTGCTTTTATTTAAACCTTTAATAGTATACTTCACCCATTTTACCCAGGCATTTGTGTCTCTATATCCAGTCTGTGCCTCAAAAATTTGTCTTAAATTGTCTTTTTCCACTATAGTTACTGCTTTGGGATCATTAGATGGAACAAAGTGACTTGAGGCACTTTGCCTTTATCATCCAGACATTTGCCAGTGTTAAACAACATCCTAGAGAAGGGGTGTCAAACTGCCAGCCCGCGGGCAGAATCCGACAAGGGGAAAAAAGTTGTGATACGTTGCGACACGTCATGTGACGCGGCAAGTTTGACACCTCCGTCCTAGAGGATCTTTTCCTGCTGTGTTGATTCCCATACTGCACAAAGTATTGTTAATTTACCTATATTCTTTATAGTCATGCTGACTGTATTGCATGTCTTCTCCTTGCACTGTGATACAGAGGGTTTCCTAAGAAGGGAAATGCAAGATTTTATCCCTTCTATCTCTGATTCAGCAAAGGAGGTCCATCCTTTTGCTTCTGTTGTCCACCACACATCCTCCCGGAGAGAGCAATCTGAGTTCACACACATATACTTTTTCTCATTTACATATTGTCTCTGGTTGCTCAGACTCCCACAGTTTATTAAATGGCACACATCAAATTGGATTACCTGGGGCTTAGTATTTTCTTGGACTCTTAATAGTAAATTTTATAGTGCCAAAGGTGTGAAAATTTTGCACAAACGCATGTTTCTTACCATAAGCAGTGGTCAATCCTTGTACAGTACTACATGCATCACCTGTAATATGACCACCCATCCCTCTATGTGCCCCATTTTCGCAAAGGAGTTTCAACACCTGGGACAGTCTAAAGCAGAGGGTCTTCAAACTTGGCAACTTTTAAGACTTGTGGACTTCAACTCCTTGATGAAGAAGGCTGGCTGAGGAATTCTGGGAGTTGAAGTCCACAAGTCTTAAAGTTGCCGAGTTTGAAGACCCCTGATCTAAAGCATGCAAGCCCTTTTTATCCAATAGTTTCCCCTCAGCTGAAATTACTCGCCTCTCTGTCTCCTGAGCAGAGAATAATTCAGGTTTACTTCCCTCCCCTAATCTAAATAACTAAAACCTTTCAGTTTTACCTTGTCTATGCTGGAAATAGAACTGAGTTTCCTAGCTTCTCACACTCGACCTAAGCCTTGTTTTATATTCCACTTGTCCCCAGCTTTCTTCTGCCCCCAGGGTAGTACCAAATAGGATATTTAAACCAAGGACACCAGTACCCTGATTCAATTATGCTTGGCCCCTACGGCCATTGCAACCCGGTCAGTAAATTATCCAGATGAAGTTATCTTCTTGCCAGGTGTCCTGTAATCTAAAAGCAAATATATCTTGTTATTCTTAGCCGAAGGGGATCACTTGAAGGTTGCACTTTTCACTTCTCTCTTGTGGAGCCTCCACCGGTCCTTTCAGTCAGCTGTAATGAGTCCAGCCTTTTTCAGCAGTTCTTAAAATGTATTCAACATGGTCTGATGCAAAAACAACACTTTGTTATTCCCTACAGTTGATAGGACAATTTGGCACATCTTAAAAAGATAAAGATAATTTTCCAGAGAAGTGCAAACAAGGAGGGGAATGGATTCAGCAGGCATGCTGCTCCAGATAGATCCTTCCCCAGCTGATCCTTCTTTGGAGGAGGGTTCACCAAACATATAAAAAAAGAGGTAGCGTTTGATTGCACCTTTGCAGCCGCCATCTTGAATTTTGGACCACATTCTTCAGACGCCCGTTTTACACAGAAAAATAAAACCAGCCTAGAGGTAGTCCTCAACTTAACGACCACAATAGAGCCCAAAATTTCTGTTGCTAAGTGAAACATTTATTTAGTGAGTCTTGCCCCATGATTTTCCTTGCCACAGTTGTTAAGTGAATCACTGCAGTTGGTAAATTAGTAACACGGTTGTTAAGTGAAACTGGTTTCCCAATTGACTTTGCTTGTCAAAAGGTCGCAAAAGGTGGTCACGTGACCCTGGGACACTGCAACTGTCATAAATGTGAGTCAGTTGCCAGGCATCCGAATTTTGATCACGTGACCCTGGGGATGCTGCAATGGTCGTGTGAAAAATGGTCGTAAGTCACTTTTTTAGTGCTGTTGTAGCTTTTGAACAATCGCTAAATGAACTGTTGTAAGTTGAGGATTACCTATATTTGCAATCAGGCCTGCTGCATGGCCCAGGCTGCAGAGACAGCAAGAAACTCGGCTTCTTCTCTTCCCCCCCTGCCCCCCTGGCCTTTGATACAGGTAGTCCTTGACTTATGACAACTGGGAGCAGAATTTTTGTTGCTAAGCAAGGTGGTTCTTAAGCAAATTGTACCCAATTTTATGACCTTTTTCGCCCTCACATGACTGCAGTGAATCACATGGTCATTAAGCAAACTCAGCTTCCCCCATTGACTTTGCTTGTTGGAAACCAAGCTGGGAAGGTTGCAAATGGTGATCACAGGACCCTGGAACACTGCAATTGCAAATGCATGTTGCCAAGTGCCCAGATTTTGATCATGTGACAGTGGGGATGCCATAGCAATAGCATTTAGACTTATATGTACCAAGCACAGGTCTAAAGGGATACAAAGCTTTACAGCCCCCTCTGGGCGGTTTACAATGTAAGCATTATTTGTATACTGCCCCCAACAATCTGGGTCCTCATTTTACCGACCATTTGAAAAAATGGAAAGCTAAGTCAACCTTGAACCCATCAGGATCGAACTCCAGGCTGTGGGCAGAGTTTGCCTGTAATATTGCACTTTAACCACTGTGCTGCCAGGGCTGTTTCAGGGCTATGACAGTCATAAGGATGAGAATCTGTTCTTTTTTCAGAACCCTTGTAATTTTGAACAGTCACTAAATGAACGATTGGAAGCTGAGGACTCTCTGTATATCACCTGAAGAGAGCTTCCACTACTGCAACAATTTGGGATGATTTCACGGTCTTGCTCCAACATTAGCTTCTCCTCCTGGGCTTCCCCTGTTTTGCCAGCTTCTTGATTTACTTCTTTGCGTGAGATCTGCAGTAAGGAAGCTTCATTAAATAGTAAAAACAAAGAACAAAAGCCCAAGAAAATATCCACACATCACTCCGGCAGCAAGAAATGGTGTTTATTCAGAAAGTAACTGGGAAACAGGAGAGGGAGGGTTGAATTCTGAATCTCTGCATAGTATTGAAAGCATAAGAGACCACCTGCCTTTGGAATTCATTTCCCATCAGCAAAGCTGAACTAGTCTGACACTGTTTTAAACAAACCACCCTTTTTGCCTGCTGAGGTCTACCCCATTTCCCCAGCCTTGCACTGACCTAAATCAGGGTGTCATCAAAAACTGGGAAAGGGGGAAAAGTCACAGGCGGCTGGTGCTAGGCAAGCAGCTATGAGCTGGGAGGGCTATGTTTGTCTCACGCTTCTCCATCCTGGTATTTTCCAGATGTGCTGGATTCTGCAGCTTTCAGAATTGCCAGTCACTGTGCCCAAAGTTGGCAGCTGCAGTCCCAACCCATATGGCATATTCAAGAGAAAGGCTGCTTTGCCCTGTCACTATGAAACAACATGAATAAATCATTTTGCTTCTGCACAACCCAGCTGGAGGACCCAATGGGGTATAAGCAGTGGATGAAATAAAGGATGTTATCACTGAATTGATAGCTGTGCTGAATGAGTCTAAGGATTGGTGGGAACGGCTGGAAAACCTGATGCAGCAGTTTTGTCTTTCAGAAATGGGCTTTGCTTCTCCCTGGATTAGTCTTCCAAATGACAAACATGCCATAAACATAGGCAATACAGATTTTCTTGCTAGCTTGTTAGCTTCCCCTCCAGGGCTGCTTGCTTCCTCTGATTAATTTGGGTAATTTTGCATTCACGCCTTATATAGCATCTAGTTAATGTCTTTAAAATAAGGCACTGTTCTTTGATCTCTTGCTGAAAAGTGGCTCTGAAGAAACAAGAGATAATTTACAACGTCGAGGTGCTCATTTAATAGGTATTCATCTCTCTGCCACAAATTGAATAATATAACCCCATAGGGCTGAATTTGCAGGACCACAAAATGATCAAAACTATAGAGCAATGTTTCTCAACCTTGGCCACTTGAAGATGTATTGACTTCAACTCCCAGAATTCCCCAGCCAGCCATGCCAGCTGGGGAATTCTGGGAGTTGAAGTGCATATATCTTCAAGTGGCCAAGGTTGGGAAATACTGTTCTAGAATATCCTTGCTCAGTGTCAGCATCTTTAAGATGTGTGGCTTTCAAATATGGCTGGGGAATTCTGGGAGCTTAAAGTTGAGCTTAAGCTTGAGAAAGTGTGGTACAGCAGACTATAAGAAAACCTGTTGTTACAGAACTGATTCCCAATTCTTGTGCTCCCTCAAACAGTTGAGATTACAGTTAATAATCTCCAACCAAAGTAACCAAGTGAATGGTAGTTGGCAATTATGGGAGCTGTAATCCCAACAAGGTCTGGAAGACACCCTGTAACATTTGAGAATAGAGTACAGGTGTAAATATGCCTGGAGAGAATACCTTTCTTTAAAAAAAAGTTTTTAGTCACTTTTCATTTGTCTACCTTCTATAGCATTCCTGCCAAATAAGCTGGAGAAATATAATTTGGTGGGTTTCATGTGAATTTTATGATAGCGTGCCCAAGAATATTCTCACAGACCTGCAATTTATGGAAATTCTAGCAGAGATAATTCAACCAGACCAAACATTTTTTTGATGTGACCTACATTTTCACACAGCATGGTGAGCAGTTGCCACAGCTAGCTGCTAATGTTTGGATAGCCACATTGGCCTAAATCTCCCAGTAACCTTGGGCTACTGGGACATAAGACACCAATGCCACCCGTCTCCGTGAAAAAGTAGACTTCGTCCTATGAAACACCCTTAGGGTGCTGTTCCACCACCAGTCCAAAGAATGATTTTGATCTTGTATAAATATGAATCTGTATGCTCCTTTTGTTTCATAACACCAAGTAAAAATGACAAAAATATATATATTAGGAGTTAGAAAGGCACAATCCACCAAAGATGGAACCTCCTCTTCCAATGGCATCTTTTTATGACCAGCTATAAAAATAAGATATAGTCCCTAAAGGAAAAGATGTTCTTCTCCTACTCCCATGCCATTCTTCCAAGAAACAGAAGGCTGCTGCTCCTGGTAGTCTCTTCTGGTGGCCCCTGGAAATTAAAGCTTCTCCATCACTGTGGGACATCAAGATGGAACAATCCCAAGTTTTCTTTCAGAGTTGGCACTGAACAAAACAAGATAGCATGCTCAACCAAGCTAAAATATGTGCATGTCATTCTCAGGTACATGGCATCTAAATCAACATCACTGTTTCAACCAATCCAATATGGCCTCTTAGAGATGTCCTGAGTTTTAGAATTAACCGTTTCCAAAATTGGCATCAGGCAACTAATCAAGATTCAATGTAGCAGATACAACCAACAAGACTAGTACACAACATTTTAAATCCTAAAGTGGCACAGAAAGTTGTTAAGAACCTGAGTATCAACTATTTCACTGAAACTAGTTTCTAAACTTGTTCCATTACATTATGATGTTAGAAGCTGATATTACAGTAAAGTGAAGTAACGATGTCCTAGGCCATAATGTCATGAATTTGAATTGGTTGACTGGTGGTTGATCTTCCAAACATTGGTTTTAACCTGTTCAAAGTGAACGCCGGGATTTCTGGCATGTCTGACCATCCAAGATGATGCATACACTGACACCATCCAGATAACAATGGTGTCGTTCTTCCAAGGGAGCAATTGGACAAGTCATTAATAGAAAGAAGGCCATGTACGATGAAGCTTGATGTTAGTATTCTTGCCCAATCTAACTGGATTCTAGTGCCAGGATAACCTTTTAGGGTAAAAAGAAGATGCTTCCCCCTTTCCATCAAGTGCTGGGGACCAGACTGCTATTAGTGCCCTCCCTACCATTGCTCCACCATTAGGTCTATCATGTGGTTGACACCCAAGTCAGAAGAATCAAAAAGGTCTGTACAGAAGATACTATTACCAACTGGACTGGCAGAGCCGAGACCTGATGCTGAACCCGAGGTCAAGGCTTCTAGCCAATCAACAGGGTCAAATCCGGCACGCGTCCCACTTCCTTGCCAGGCATCTGGAGGAGATGGCGGCATCTCCAGAGAGTCAGGAGAGAAAACAGAGGACAGCGAATCCAGTGATGCTGATGAAGAGGAGGCTGTCGAAAGGAAATCGTAGGATCCCGGAAAATCAAAGATGGCAGAGGACACCAGCGGTGGCTCATTGCTGGAGCAGGATTTCTTTGGTGGTGATGCTTCTTGGTGGACCAATGGGGACAAGGAAACTTGATCAGGAACCTCTGGGGTCAAGGCAGGTGCTTGAAGAATGTCACCTAGATGCCGCAAAACAGACCACACTTTGACATAATAGTGAACCCCCATCTCAACCTTCCTAACTCTAAGCTAAAAACGAAGAAGCCACAGAACAAGTTTTCATACCAGGATTTTCCCCTGGATCATGTGGTTGTGGCTATCTGAGGAGCAACTGTCTCTTTAACCCAGTGGTTCTCAACCTGTGGGTCGGGACCCCATTTGGGGTCAATCGACCATTTCACGGGGGTCGCCAAGCAAGGCTGCCGGCCATTTTTTTGTGTCCGCCATTTTTTTCCCCTTTTCCGGCGGGTGCCTTACCTCCCTTGGGCTGGGCCAGCTGGTGGTCGGCCTGCTCCGTCTCTGCTGCTTGCCAACTACGCCTCGGCCGGCGCAAGGGGCGGAACCACGCATGCGCGGCGCTCCCGGGCAGGGAAAGTCCTCAACTTAGACCAGTTGGGTAGTCCTCGACTTACGACCGGTTTAGTCCTTGACTTATGACCGGTTTAGTCCTCGACTTATGACCGATTTAGTCCTCGACTTACGACCAGTTGGGGTCGCGGCATTAAAAAGGTTGAGAACCACTGCTTTTAACCCACCCTTCCCCAAACTTATGGCTCCTGTTGGCTCAAAACCTTTATTGATCCATCTTTGTTCCTGATAGCTTTTTCTCTTATTAATTCCTCCATGAGCCAGTCCCCATTGCAGTCTGCAAAACAAACCAGAGCCATCATCTCACCTGTACACATCAGGGGTTCTTCTAAAATCTCTTCAATGGATTGGCTTGGCACCAGCTATAGAAAGGGAAGAAAAGAGAGGGTGTCTTAAAGAGTGTCTGTCTCAAGGACAAAGCCAGGACACGTTCTGGCACAATGATCAGTACTGAATTTCCAAAACAATGTTCAAGCCAATGCAAGGTTTGGTGTTAAAAGCACAGCGGAGGAGATTTAGCAGGTGAAGACTGTTCCTTCTCTCTATGGAAAATGGAAATACTCTGAAAAAAGTTGAAGGATCCAGAAGATAAGGAGCTGTCCGTACCTTTGTTCCACATTGCTATTATTTAAACCGGAATTAAGGAGCCTGGAGAACTTTGGCAATCCAAAGTAGCCATTTCCTCTATGACGGCCTGTGTGCAAAGCAAAATCAGATAGCCTGCAAGAAAGACCAACAGGGATGCCCCCAAAATAATACCTGAGCCTTCTGAATGGCCTCTTGGAGCTCTTCCTCCAGGGACCGAGTGGCTGGGGCTGGATCAGGAGGGCTGGCTGTAATCTCGAGGGGCAGCTCCATATCAGAATGGATTGGCTCACACGAGGGGGAGCATAAAACCTAGTAAGAAAGTGGAAGAAATGCTAAGAGTTCAACTTGATTTCTTCAGGCAAAAAGCCCCACTGGCTTTAATACTACTCATGAAAAAAAACCAAACCCCCCCCCCCCAGGTCTCAAACTAATGGTTTCATAATGACTCTGGTAAGTGCTAGGTAGAAATGCCTGACATTGACCAAGCAGGAGGGTCCTGGAGTCCTGCGTATGGAGGTGACCCTCGGGCTGGAGACAGAGATGACAGGGATCAGGGAGGCTAGCAAGTTGGGGGGATGAGGGGCAGGTGAGAACACCGAGGTGGGGGTGGGCGGGGGGAGATATCGTCGGAGTCAGTGGATAGACCGTTGCCAAGCAATTCTGCATTCTGGCTGCCTGTGCTTTGTCCCAATATCCGACCATGGAGCCTTGGGAGCCCTGGACGTCAGCTGTTGCTACTTAATCAATACTATGTCCTTCTGCAGTAAAGCCAGTCTTATGCATGAGTCAATAATGGATGAGAGGATCAGCCGGACACGTGTAACAGAAACCTGGCTCGGCAAGGTGCTTCCCCTTATGGAAATTTGCCCACCTGGGTTTCAGTTGTGCCATGGCTTCAAGGTAGGGACTGGAATGACCTTTGTAAATACAAAAGACTTGGATTTCAAAGGCACTGCCCTATAGATAGCTGGGTATGAGATCCTTTTTGTGAAGTTGGGCACTTGGGATCAGATGGTTGATACTATGCCAGCATCCCTGTTGTGTAGCGCTTTCTCTGTTTGTGCTAAAACTGGCTCCCATTCTTGCACTGAAAGGTCCTGCTCATATCACTTGTGTGTTAGTGAACTCCTCTGCAATTCACTCTACTTGGCATTGCTCCTGAGGATCTGCAATTGGTCTAACAAACAGCAGCTTGTTGGTAGTTATGGATCTATCACATTCCATCCATGTAACATTACTGGCTCACAAGTTTCTAATGGGCTTTCTGGTGCAATTCAAGGTACTGATTTGTAAAGCCCTGCATGGCAGAGGAGCAGACAATATTTGTGGGGCCCTGTTATCTCTGGTTATGGTGGCCCATCTCTTGCTCTTCCAGACTGGATACGTTTTAGGTGTCTTCCTGGTGTCAGTAATATTTGGTGGGTCCTAGGAAGTATGCCTTATCTCTGGCATCCCCTGCCCTTCGGATTGATCTCTCTCCTGAAATTCAATTGATCCTGAGCCTGTTGGCCAATTTTTCCTCTGGGCATTTAGATATCTTTGATCTAGTTCAGTGGTTCTCAACCTGTGGGTCGGGACTCCATTTGGGGTCGATTGACCATTTCACGGGGGTCGCCAAGCAAGGCTGTCCACCATTTTTTTTGTCCACCATTTTTTTCCCCTTTTCCGGAGGGTGCCTTACCTCCCTTGGGCTGGGCCAGCTGGTGGTCGGCCTGCTCCGTCTCTGCCGCTTGCCAGCTACGCCTCGGCCGGCGCAGGGGGCGGAACCACGCATGCGCGGCGCTCCCGGGCAGGGAAAGTCCTCGACTTACGACCGGTTGGGTAGTCCTCGACTTACGACCGGTTTAGTCCTCGACTTATGACCAGTTTAGTCCTCGTCTTACGACCGGTTTAGTCCTCGACTTACGACCGGTTGGGGTCGCGGCATTAAAAAGGTTGAGAACCACTGATCTAGCTGGAGCATGGTGGATTCGATGGCCCAGGATGTATAATAATAATAATAATAATAATAATAATAATAATAATAATAATAATAATAATAATAATAATAATAATAATAATAGTAAAGTTGGAAGGGACCTTGGAGGTCATCTAGTCCAACCCCCTGCTCAGGCAGGAAACCCTATACCATTTCAGACAAATGGCTGTCCAGTCTCTTCTTAAAAACCTCCAGTGTTGGAGCATTCACCGCTTCTGGAGGCAGGCTGTTCCACTGGTTAATTGTTCTAACTGTCAGGAAGTTTCTCCTTAGTTCTAGGTTGCTTCTCTCCTTGATTAGTTTCCATCCATTGCTTCTTGTCCTGCCTTCAGGCGCTTTGGAAAATAGCCTGACTCCCTCTTCTTTGTGGCAGCCCCTGAGATAGTGGAACACTGCTATCATGTCCCCCCTCGTCCTTCTCTTCATTAAACTAGACATACCCAATTCCAGCAACCGTTCCTTATATGCTTTCCTGTGTTATTATTAATTATTGCCTTTTATTGTTTTCATTTTAGGTTAGTTGCCAGGGTCTCTTTGGAGAGTTGGGTGGTGTCAGAAAATTTTTGAGGAAGGTTCACTAACATGTGAACTTTTAAATGATCAAGTTAACCTCTCCTTGCCACTTTTCCTCAAGGAAATTGCATTTTTCCTCTTCGTATTGTGAAACTGTGAAAACAAACTGGCATTTTAACCCTTTCTAGCTTTTCTATTCCTTCATGGTGCAGTAGATCTGAGATGTAGGAATCATATTTAACCACCTAAGTCAGATAGAGGAGGAGTGAAAAGACATATGACAGGTAAGCAAGCCAAGCACAGGTCCAAAGGAATACAAAGCAAACAGAAGGCAGATGTGGTTTAATCTTATTAATGCTGGCATCCCAAAGAGACCAAGAAGCAACCAATCCCAAAGTCAGAAGACCCTACAAGGTTGGGAACCATCATGGTAACCACCAACTGTATGTCACTGTCACCCTTTATTAGTCACCTAAGAATAGACTAATATAGTAGTTCTCAATCTGTGGTCTGCGGATCCCTGGGGGGCTGCAATGTCGTTACAGGGGGTCCGTGAAGGCTTGAAGAAATGTTATGATTTAAATCTTGAGTTAAGTCTTTGTGGTCTGTGGCCACAAGAGATATTTAAAGAGGGTCCGTAGTGAAGAAAATGTTGAGAACAATTTTATTAATAGATACGGGAGCAGAATCCACTTTAATGGATGGTGAGTCACTCAGAAAGATTTTCCAGGGAATGTCTCTTGTATTGATGGGTATGGATCTCTCAAATAGCAGATCTGACTTCTCTTGGGACCTACATCCTTAAGGCGGTGGAGACCACTCTTGAAGGAGGTCATCTTAACACTGAACCAGGGGTTTCTAGGACTTCTCTACTGAATATCTGGAATCTGGTGTTTTCTCGTCTATGTTGGCTACAAGGGTGAAACTAAGGACATCATTGGACGTCATCTTGGATGCCTGGGAAGGTGACACTGTGCCACAGAAACTGGGAGCCCAGGTGCCTCGGGGATTTATGGGCAGAGACACCTGTGGGGTAGTTTAACTGCTGGCATAAATGTAAATAGAAGGGCTGGGGTAACAGAACCTGGTTATCAAAGCAAAGTGAAGATGCTCCTGCATTTTGATCCTGACAAGGTCAAACTACACCTGAGGGTGAGAGAGAGAGAGAGAGAGGATGGCCAAACCGATCCTCCACAAAATTGTCCACACCTTAAAGTTATCCAGATTGAGAAACACTGGTAGTTGGTAGAACTTATGGCTGTTTATTTGATGTATAATAAGTATAGGTTTGCTTTCAGGTGTTCTGTGCTTTTCCTGCTGCTGCTGCAATGTCTGGATAACGACTTTGCTGTCCCTTTTCTAACCTTTCTGCTCTCTAACCATGCAGCCACTCCCTCCCCATCTGGTTAATTGCCCTGACCTCTTTCCTGCTAACAAAGTAATTAACCTCCTTGCCTTAGAGAAGGAAATAGTTAACCTTTTGCTCTCACTAGCCACGTCACTAGTTTCTCGGTGTCCATCAATTGACTTCCCACACAATGGGGGGACCAGCAAGTACCTCTCACACATATTTTTACTGATATGAATACACAAATGTTAATTTAATGATTAATTGATCGGGCACTGTTTCTTTTCAGTGGATGGGGAGGGGGAACTTGAGACTAAGAGATGGGCACTAATGGGCCCCTAAGTAAAGACAAAAGCCATGATGAATGGCCTCTCCTGTCAATATTGTCGCTGAATGGGATGGGAGCTTCCCTATGTAAGTACAAGTAGTTCTCCTTCAGTGACCACAATGGATATCAGCAACTTGGTCATTAAATGAAGTGACGGTTACTTTTTCATCACTATCATAACTGCAAATAGTCACTAAATGAGGCAGTCATTGAATGAGGGCAATCTATTACTTTCATGACTATCACTCTGCTTAATAAACTTGGTATTTTACTGTAGTTCTGTTGATCATAATTTGGGTCTCTCACCTGTGATGGGTATTGCCCACAAAAGGTGACCATATAAGTTAGATCAGGGGTCTTCAAACTTGGCCCTTTTATGACATGTGGACTTCAACTCCCAGAATTCCTCAGCCAGGCACACAGGCTGAGGAATTCTGGGAGTTGAAGTCCACAAGTCATAAAAGGGCCAAGTTTGAAGACCCCTGATTTAGATAAATAAAATATGAATAAATAAATAATGTTGAGGACCAGCCCTTAATTTTTCCACTGCTAAATGACAGAAGTTATGCAAGTAGGCGTTCTCTGTAGCCCTTAATATTTTGCTGCCGTCCTATTCTTGTGCATGTAGTCTTCCACTTATGATCGGTCACGTAACAACCATTCAAGTTACGGCGGGCATCAGTGGGGACACTTATGACCTGATTCAAAGTTCCAGCAACCTGGCTCTTCCCTGCAGTCACATGACCCCACTTTGGGCACTCGGCAACTGGCCCGCATTGTATGGTGGTTTGCAGCATACCACCATCACGTGACCACATTTTATGATGGTTTTCTGAAAACCAGCATTTACTTCTGGTTTTGGGCAAACCCCGGCCCATTAAAAAAACCATTGGTTTGCTTAATGACTGCCATATTTGCTTAAAGATCACCACAAAAAAGGCCATAAAATTGGGTTGGTCATGTGGGCGACCCAATTTATGACTGTCACAACTTACGATTATAATGGGCAGGTTCCATTATGGTCACAATTCAAGGCCTACCTGTGCAGCTAGAAGATTGCTAAGATAATTAGGGGTAGACTACCTTTGTTCCAAACTTTGGTTGGAAGAGACAAATAGCCCAAGGTGTAATCTGCTTTACCTGGGCATCAGATACAATGCGTGTATCTTATGTTGCTGATACTCACTGTGGTCATTAAAGGAGAACTACCTGTACTTATACTACACAGGGAGGCTCCCATCCCATTCAGCGACAATATTGACAGGAGAGGCCATTCAATGGGTATCCATGGGGGATGGGGAAAGTAATGACAGATCCATCATGATGTCATCACACAGTGATGTGACTTATGTGGTCTGCATCACTTGCACACTGATATCCAAGCAAACAAGGCCCTAGCATAGCTTCTTATGAATACCTGCGAGCATCAGATCAACACAGATTTCAACAATGTGATTCTTCAGCTAAGGTTAATTTATTTAGTAATAAGTTAAAATGAAATAGCCTTCCCCAGTTAGGGACCTCTTGGAATCTATGGAGCTACTTGGAAATAAAATTTACCTTGAGAAAATGGTTTTATTTGAGAGGACAGAAATGGCAGCATGCGCAAATTGAAATTCATCTGTCTGCTGACTTAGATGTACAAAATATTTTGTGTTACATCTGCTTACGTAATTTAATTTTCTTATGAAATAGCAAACACAAGAGTCCCCCAAGAAATGTTCAATCAACACTTTAATTCCCAGGGTATGCTGGCTAGCAGCCAAAATCCAAAATATCTTGAAAAGGGGGCACCAATTTACAGAAGGCTGCATTTCCAGGAGTCGGAGTGAAGCAGATGAGTCAGGCAAACAGTCATACAGGAAAGCAAAAAGCATCTGTCACTTTTCAGCTCAGAGGGAAGATGAGTCCTGGGGATTCTTCCATGGGGACCATGGGGGAATCCAACAAGCCAAGATAAAGACTGCATGATGCCCTGTCCCCAGCTCCTTTTTTACATGCACTTATCAAAAAGGGTCAAGGGTTCAGTTATATGGTCATGGCTGCCATCTTACTTATTATTTACTGATTTTATTAAATTTAGAAGCTGTGGTAGCGCAGTGGTTAGAATGCAGTATTGCAGGCTAACTCTGCATTCCACTGCCAGCAGTTCAATCCTGACTGGCACAAGGTTGACTTAGCCTTCCATCTTTCTGAGGTCAGTAAATGAGGACCCAGATTGTTAGGGGCAATATACTGACTCTGTAAACCGCTTAAAGAGGGCTGTAAAGCAGGGTTGGAGAGGGTTAATGTCATACCCTGATTCTGGGATCTCAGGAAGCTTCACTCTCATTAGAAGCAGGCTGCTGATCTGCAGACTCCCATTGAGATTCGTAGACTTGTATAACCCTTCATCCTATCAGTATTGTTTTCCAAGATTTTCTTTGACCCATTAGATTGCTATCCCTTTTACAAGCAACCCCCATTGTCTTATCATGTGGTTCCTTTTCAGGCTAGCCAAGGAAAGCTGACTTGCTTACCATGAACTCGTCTTCCATGCCCTCTCCCTCCTTGGTGCACTCTCTCTTGGGGATGTAAGGAGGGGGCGGAGCTTCCTGACGGCCAGGTGACTGCAGTGCTCCCTTGCGGCGATTCTTGATCTGCTTGTGCACTTCCAGCTCCTCGCGGGGGTCACTGTCGTGGTGCTTCAGCTCTCGGTGGAGCTTTAATGCCAGATTCTCCACCACCCGCTGCTTCTCCTGCAGGGCCTGGGGCTCTTCTTCTAACTCAGAAGGTGCTAAGCGGGCGCTGGGGAGTGGGGCAGGTGGGGGCTTCACCCGGGCCACCTGGTAAGGCTTGAGGCGTTCCAGCAGGGCTGGCTTGGTGCCCGAAACAGGGAGGCCCCGCTTACGGAGCTGCTGGCGGAGTTCAGAGACCTGAGAAGCAAAATTATGGCCACAGGTAAGGAAAGGGGAGAAAGAGGTGATAGATTACAGGTAGTCCTTGACTTACAATTCATTCAGTGACCGTTTGAAGTTACAACAGCACTGAAAAGGTGACATGACAGGTGCTCACACTTACAATCGTTGCAAGGATCCCCATGGTCACATGATCAAAACTCAGGCAGCTGGCAACTGGCATGTATTTATGACAGTTGCAGTCTCCCAGGATTATGTGATCACCATGAGTAACCTTCCAAGCTGGCTCCTGACAAACAAAGTTAATGGCAGAAACCAGATTCACTTAACAGCCACATGTCACTTAAGAACTACAGTGATTTGCTTATCCACAAAAGGCAAAAAGATGATAAAATTGCAGCATGTCTCCCTTAACAACTGCCTTGCTTAGCAACAGAAATGTTGGGCTCAACTGTGATCTTAAGTTGAGGACTATCTATATCAGAGGTCTTCAAACTTGGCCCTTTTATGACTTGTGGACTTCAACTCAACTCAGTTCTGGGAGTTGAAGTCCACAAGTCATAAAAGGGCCAAGTTTGAAGACCCTTGATCTATATTAATCAAATGCACAGAGAACAGATTACAGGTGGTCCTTGACTTATGACTAGTCACTTCACAACTGTTTGAAATTACACAGCATCCCAAAAAGATACTTATGACCCAGATTCAAAATTCCGATGGCTGCTCCCCTCTTCAGTCCCTTTTGGGTGGCTTGGCAACCACCCCACATTTATGGCCGCTTGCAGTATCTTTATGACATTTTTTTTTGCTGGAAATCAGTGTTTACTTCTGGTTTCTGGCAAAAAAAAATAATCCACTGGGGACAATGGATTCACTTAACAACTACAGCAGTCGCTTAATGACCACCATAAAAAAGATTGTAAAATTGGCTGTGGTCACGTGACGACCCACTTATCAATCAGCATGACTTGCAATCGTAATTCTGGGCTCAGTTACAGACATAAGTCGAGGACTACCTGTGTTGAGGGTTTGTTTCATGCATCGGCATTTCACTTTTCAGTTAAAAACTTTCTGCAGAGCAAAACTGAATGTCCTGGCATAGAAAGAAAAGGCATTAGAGGAGTGGGAAGCCAAAGAGAAGCACTGGTGCTTGATGGCAGAGTTATGTTTTTCATGTGCTCCCTATTTCCATGAGCAGTGAAAAAAAATATCCCGGATTTGATTCTTTGGAGGAGAGAGGACAAACTCCATCTCTGGAGGTTTCTAAGAAGAGGCTAGACTGTCACCTCTCGAGGATGGGCTTACTGATTTTCTTAACTGATGGGCTTAACTGATTTTCCTCCACATTGCTGAGGTTTGGCATACAGGAGCTTTCCCACTCCACAATTCTATGATTATGGGACCTCTACAAGGCAAGCAGAGCAAAAGTGAGCAGGCACGACCGTTTTGAGGGAAGTGTGATAGAAATCTGCGGGCAGGCTGCACTTAGGGACTTCAGGCCCGATGTTTGAAAGTGCTCCCACTGCCACACTGCCCTTGGTTTCCGCCTTCAGTGTCTGGCTGTCAGATCCTCAACAGTCCCAGACTTCAGCTGTTGTTAATAGAATAGCAGGCCTGCATGTAACAAAGCCTCCCATTATTCACAAACTTATCTTGGAGGAGGTTGTGCACCGGCTGAGACCCCAGGGGAGAGGAGGAGTGATGGCTATTGTCATCCATGAATTCTTACAGGCTTTCAGCGGCTCCTTTTAGCAGACAACCAGATGTGAGGTGCTCTGGCTGAAGTTAGGCTTAAGGGAACAGTTGGAATCACCGCTGGTGTACCAGCCTTCCTGTCACTCAGCTGGATTTTGCAGCCTGGTTGATAATAGTGACTTTTTGAAGTTACAACAGTGCTGATAAAAGCCCGGTCCTCACACTTGTGACCGTTGCACCATCCCCACGGTCATATGTTCGCAATATGGGTGCTTAGCAACCAACTTGCATTTACGACTGGTTGCAGTGCCCTGCAGTCGCACAATTTTTTCTGCTAATTTCCAACATAAAATACTCATTTGGAAAAATGGATTCTCACTTACAACTGCCTTGTTCACTTAACAACCATGGATTCGCTTAACGGTCATGGTGATTCACTTAACGACTATCATAAAAATGATTAGAAAATCAGGTCTGAGTCGACTTACAACTTAAGACAGAAATTCTGGTCCCGATTATTATTGTAAGTTGAGGACAATCTGTATTCTGCTTTGGAATTTCAATTTGCCACCTGGTGATACCGAGTCCACAGGAGATTGTGGCATTTGTGGTGGCCATGGAATTACCTCAGTCACTGATGGTCTGAGACATGTTGGAGATTTCTATTGTAGGACAACCCCTCCCCCCAGCACTTTCACATTGCTGCCTGAAATCTAGCTGGTACATGCATATTTAACTGATATACACTGACACACAAAAATATGGACTCTGATCTTTTACAGAGAGCTGAGTTATGGGTTATGCTTCATGTAAGCATAGCTGGAATACCCAGTTTGGTGAATTTTCCAATCTCTTCCTGATTATGTCTCAAAGCCACTGGTCTTGTCATGGATCCCCTTTCCTTCCTCAGAGGGTCCTGAGGAGGCCAAATTCATCTCCCTGGCTTGCTTTTTCTCAGAAATCAGGCAGGCAATGATATGATAACTGTGACTGGAAAATGTACTCAGACAGACGGGCTGTACAACATTATTTTGAACATGACTAAGCAAAATGGATTGGTTGCATTGGTTTACTCCTTGGTTCCCTATTATCATCTAACCTCTTCTCCTCATAAGACATGTTTATTTATTTATTAGATTTTGATCACACCTTTACTGTTATAAACAACTCAAGGCAGCGAACATATCTAACACTCCTTCCTCCTCTTATTTTCTCCACAACCACCACCCTGTAAGGTAGGTTGGGCTGAGAGTGACTGGCCCAATGTCACCCAACTGGCTTTCATGTCTAAGGCAGGACTGAAACTCATAGTCTCCTGGTGATTGGCCCAAAGTCACCCAATTGGGTCTGGAATTCACAATACTTAATCTGTTCTGTCCCCGTTCCGACCCACACACCCAAACAGCCGGCCGAGGGTTTAAAGACTTCTCCAGACACCAATGCACAGATAAGAAACTTGGCAGCAGCTCCGTAGCTGCCTGCCAAGACCTTTTTACTCCAAACACACAGACACAAAAACAATACGCACAGTTGAACGCCACAGCACACTAATTTGCCAGAGATTCAGCTTTTGTCCGTCACAGAGGTCCAAATGGCCACCACCACCCTTTTATAGCCTGTGGGGTGTGGTCCAATGACTCAGCTTAATCTCTGGCACGTCTCTTTTTTTGCTGCGCACGCTTATCGCTCCTACGCTGGCGTGGATCCAGCCACAACTTTTCTTCCTCATTATCGGACACACCTGGCTCCTGGCCAATCTGAGAAACACCGGGCTCCTGGCCAATCTCTGAACCACCTGGCTCCTGGTCAATCTCTTCTCCGTCGGAAGACACCTGAGGCATTGCCAAAGAGGAGGGTCCTGGAGAGGGAAGCCTAGCCATCTCCTCACCTTCATGTTCGGAGCCTTCTTCCTCCGATAAGAGGGGCTCACAAGATAGAGCCACAACATAATCAATACTTTGCCAGTAATTGGCCTAACATCGTGTTAGGAGACTTGAGCTGATAAACCCCCAAACCTACCGTGAGCTCTTCTAAGTTGGCAGGTAACAGTTCTGGTTTTGGTGGCAAAGGGGAGATTGGGGTGGCTGGAGAAGGAAGAGGGAGCGTTGGAGGCCCATTTGTGGAAGCTGGAGTACCAGGGAAATTCAAAAGTTGCTCTGGAGCATTGCTGGGTTAAAGAGAGAGAGAAGCAGAGAAAGAAAATAAATAAGGGACTATTGCTCCTGGACAACTTTGCCTCAGACTATAAAAATAAAATGATACTAGTCCACGTGACAAAGGCCTAAATTTGTTGAAAGTTGGGCAGTGTACAAGTTTAACAAATTATTATTATTATGTGGAGTAGTTTAAACTGGGAGCTGTAGGTTTAAATTTTTGCTTAGTAAAGAAACCGAATTGCTGCTTTTAAATCAATCAATGGTTCCCCACCAAAGTCCCTCACAACATTATTGAGTAGAATAAATGTGGAGGAGGAAAGCCAGCTATTCTTTCCTAGGCTCTTCAAAGGAGGAATAAAAGAGAATTCTATAAAGATAAATAATACAATTCACCAAACCAGCCCTAAGCTAGCCTTCAACAGTTCTTAAGACAGACAAGAAACTAATTAAGGCTAGATGCGGCAGAAGAAATTAATTAAGGCTAGTCGAAGAGCTCCAGAATAAGGGGCGGGAGGATAATGACATGTGTGCAAATATGAACAGTATTTTATTACAACACATGTGGTCATAACTTGAGGACAACCTGTAATGCATTCAGTGTATTCATTTAATACTGTATACTTATATATTGCCAATCTACGCAAGTTGTTTCTAGAATTCGTGGATAGGTATTCAGTTTATGCTAATCACAATTAAGTCCCATTGCAATTATTGGGACTTGTGGTGAATTAACCATGACTAATTTCAGCAGATGCTTCTCTTGAGTAACTAATTCTGAATTCTGGTACTTAATAAAAACGGTCAGTTAATTTAACATTGCTTTTTACACTTCTGGGGTATCTTCCCTAAAGCCAAAAAGTCAAAGAAATAAAAATAGCAGTATGTTCCTTGCTTAATTGGAAAGCAACACACACTTTAATCTTAATTGGAGAGCAATTCCTTGAAGCAGAGAATAAGTGGCAAGTCTCTGGGGATCTTAGCAAAAAGAAATATAAATGTTTTAGCAGCACCCAACAGCGAGCTGTGCCATGAGTCAAGAGTGAGCCTTCTGCAAACAGGGCACTATCTGCAAGATGGCAAGCAAGATCAAAAAAGTCAAGACAAGTACAGTCTGTAACTGCATGGTGTTGGCCACCCTGTTCATTTCTTTATTTTGTATAGCTGCCCATCTCAAACTGCAATTCTGGGCAAGACACACTCATAAAACACTTTACCAGTTAACTATGATATATATATAAAAAAGACAAATTAAAGACAAAAAAATGTCAGCTTACAGCCATTCATTTAGTGATGGTTCAAAGCATCGAAAATTATGACTTGCGACCGGTCCTTGCACTTATGGCTATCGCAGCATCCTCTTGGTTATGTGATCAGAATTCAGGCGCTTGGTAACCATCATATATTGACGACACTTGAAATGTTCTGGGATGCTGGGATCACCATTTGCAACCTTCCCAGCCAGCTTCCAACAAGCAAAGTCAATTGGGTGGGGGGAACCAGATTTGCTGGTCATTCATTTAACAACTGCAGTGATTTGTTTAACAACCATGGCCACAAAGGTGTGGGCATGACTCACTGACAAACCACCTTGCTCAGCAACAGAAATGCTGGTCCCAAATGTGGTCATAAATTGAGAAATACCGTTAGCCTCTAAGAAATATGTAATCTAAAGGTGTTGACACAGCCAGGTAAGGGGCCCCTCACCACCCCTGGGCACATAACCAGGTCTTCTGAAAGACCAACGGGGGAGATCCTAATTTCAGGGAGGAAAAAAATTCCAACGGACAGTCACAAGGGCAGAAAAGGAATGTCTCCTCTTGACTTTTTTGGATTTCCCTTGCAGATGACCCTGCCTGCAAACCATACCTGTGGTATTCTCAGGGCAAAGCTAAGAGTTACCTGGCGGGGACTGCGTGGAGAGCCTGAACGCAGAAGGTTGCCGGGGACGTGGGCATGGGCTGCTGCTGCTGATTCAAGATCTGGAGCTGCAGAAAAACCTGCTGTTGCTGCAGGAGGTGGGCGTAGGCAGCGTCCATGGGCAAGGGAGTCTGCTCTCCCTTCTGATCGGGAGGCATGTACTGGTGGTACTTCAGCTTCTTGACTTTGGGCCGGGACTCCTTGGCCTTTTTGGGTCTAGGGGCCTTTCTCGCCTCAGGAACTTTGTGGAGGACCTAAAGAGCGGAAGTGAAAAAGGAAGCAAAGATGGCACAGAGGGTCTGTGAAACAGAGCAAGGAGAAGAAAAAAAAAAAAAGAGAGACTCTAGGCAGGGGTAGTCAACCTTGGCTCTTTTATGACTCGTGGACTTCAACTCCCAGAATTCCTGAGCCAGCTGTGCTGGCTCAGGAATTCTGGGAGTTGAAGTCCACGAGTCATAAAAGAGCCAAGGTTGACTACCCCTGCGAGTCTAGGGCAGTGTTTCTCAATCTTGGCACTTTCAAGGTGTGTGGATTTCAACTCCCTTCCACTTGCACTTGATGCAGGATTGTATAAGAGGAAATTGCAATATTTAGTGCAGTGGTAGGGACATCCATCATCAGAAGCCACCTGGGTGAAGTGTACTGATGTGAAAGCTGACAGACTTATACGTAAATTTTATGATAAACTTCCAAACAAACCGGGGGAGGGGGGATTCTTAACTTTTGTTCTTGTTTGATTTGCAGGATTTCTCCTTTCTTTTAAGGGGAGCCGAATGTCAATGCTGTGACAAACCGAACTGAAGCCATTTTCTTTTTGTCTTCGTTGCCCCATTTTAGTTTAGAGATATTAGATGAAGGAAGAGGGACGGGGGATGCATAGTTCTCAGTTAGCCAAAACAATTCATATGTGTGAGAATCAAGGTCAGTGCTGATAACGTTTTGGCGGGCTGGAGAACTGTGAGGAGAGTCCGCCTTTTGTAACAAGGCTGGCTGGGGAATTCTGGGAGTTGAAGTCTACACACCTTAAAGGTATCAGGGTTGAGAAACACTGGTCTACTCTAGATGATGGATAGAAATTATATCTTCCTTTTTTACATATAATAGTTAATATGTTTGTGTTATGCTTTCTGTGCTTTTCTTGCTGAAAAGCTTCAGTAATGACCTTGCTTTCCCTTTTCTAACCTTTCAGCTCCCTAATAATGTAGCCATTCCCACTCCATCCATTTAATTATCCTGATCTCTTTCTCGTAAGTCAAGGACTACCTGTACTGAAGATAATACAGGTACACCTTTCCTGAGGCCCAACATCCTTAAGTAGGCTTCTCCTCATAACATAGTAACCTCTCAGGTGCACGTCTACTACTTAGTGAAATTGGAGATACACAGAAAATAAATTTTGGGGAAATTTGACTCGATTAGTGGAATACTGCAACCAGTTTTGGTCACCACGCTACAAAAAAGATGCTGAGACTTTGGGAAAAATTCAGAGAAGAGCAACTAAGATGATCCAAGGCCTGGAGACTAAAACATATGAAGAACGGTTGCAGGATTTGGGTTTGGCTAGTCAAGAGAAAAGAAGAACTAGGGGTGACATGATAGCAGTATTCCAATATTTGAGGGGCTGCCACTAAGAAGAGGGGGTCAAATTATTCTCCAAAGCACCAGAGGGCAGAACAAGAAACAATGGTTGGAAACTAATCAAGAAGAGAAACAACCTGGAATTAAGGAGAAACTTCCTAACAATTAACCAATGGAACAGCTTGCCTTCAGAAATCATAAGCGCTTCATCACTGGAGGTTTTTAAGGAGACACTGGACAGCTTACTTGTCTGAAATGGTATAGGGTCTCCTGCTTGAGCAGGGGGCTGGACGACCCCAAGGTTCCTTCCAGCTCTATCCTATCCTATCCTATCCTATCCTATCCTATCCTATCCTATCCTGTCCTGTCCTGTCCTGTCCTGTCCTGTCCTGTCCTGTCCTGTCCTGTCCTGTCCTGTCCTATCCTATCCTATCCTATCCTATCCTATCCTATGCCAGGGCATGGTTCTTAGGGCATTTACAATATTGTAATAGCACATTCTGATGAGTCTCCATTTTTTAATGTTTAAACTTCTCCATTCACTCCTCTGAGTGTGGAAAGCCGGGGTATACTTTGAAATAAATAAATAATACACATGCCTAATGCAAACAGGAAAACTTCAGCAAACGAAGCCTCAGCATCTCTCCTTGACTGTCCTTGCATACTGGAGGAGGTTTCAGATGCTGAATGTGTGACTCTTGTGCAGCAGGACCAAGAGGAGGGAAGGGGATGGAAAGATAACAACTTCCTAGCAGGAGTGTAAATCCTGAGGCACCCCAGATGTTGTTTTCATCATCCTTGAAAATTGATCATGCTGCCTGGATTTGCCCGGAACTGCAGCCCAGCAGTATCTATGACTTATTCAGCAAACCATAATTTTTTTAAAAATGGAAGGGAGAATTCAGGACAAAACTGGCTTACAAAGGCTGGAGAAATTTTAGCTAATGTAGTGTTTTGCAGTTTGGAATGAACACTGGGTTACCTTTTATTTTCTGACTATATTCAGCTGACAAGAGAGGACACTTAGGGCAGAATCAGCACAAAATCCTCTCTTCTCCTCCTTCCTCCTTTCCTTTCCTTTCCTTTCCTTTCCTTTCCTTTCCTTTCCTTTCCTTTCCTTTCCTTTCCTTTCCTGTAACTGATTTGCAGAGGTTGTCAGAATTAGTGGTATTCCTCCCTGTGGCTACTCATAGCTAGCAGCTGCTGTGCTGCCCTTTACAGAAAGCCCTTCTCTATAATAATTCATGCAGGGAGGACTAAAAAAAATAATTATGCCAGCTAAAAATCAGTACATATTGACACCATGAACTAAAATTAGTTCAATTTTACCCACATTTGCCCAATATTTTACTGCCTGCAAATGAGGCAGGAACACCAGGGGAAGGAGAATGTACAGTTTTCCCTCCACAGAGAGATTAAAAAAATTAAGATGAAGCATCTTTGATGGAGCAGTTGCAGTTAGCATTTTGACATCTATCTATCTATCTATCTATCTATCTATCTATCTATCTATCTATCTATCTATCTATCTATCTATCTATCTATCTATCTATCTATCTATCTATCTACCTATCTACCTACCTACCTACCTACCTACCTACCTATCTCTGCCCGTCCATCCATCTTCTATCATTTAGCTATATTTCTAATATGCTTTCTATCTCAGTATCCAAAGGGATTCTCACAATGCAAGAAATATTATATTAAATTACAAAAATATTAAGACAAGGATTTAAAAAAAAAATCAGATAAAATGTGATCCCTTCCAGCAGATACACATGATTGCAACAGCCGCGTATCTCCTGGCAGGACCCTAGAGTGCATCTATGGCTGAGCCTTGCAAAATCATGCCAGCAAACCATGGTTGATCTCTTTCTCTGTTAAAAATGATGGAAAAGTCTTTCTCCAGCAATGTTCCCACTGGGCTCTCCTCTGCCAATGACCCAGGCCTACCTTTGGGAGCGAAATTGCGGGCTTGATGAGGATGTTTCTCCCTTGGAGAGAGAACTCAGCATCAGAGGTAGATGAAGTGACAGCAGGCTGTTGATCCACCGGGATTGGGGGCAGGTCCAGCTGCAGGAAGAAAGATAAAACTCAAGAATGGCGGCTCTTACATATACAGTACTGAGTTTTCCACCTTGACCTTGTTCTTTAAACTGTGGTTTGGGGAATAAGCCATAATAAGACAGGTATAGAAAGTGGAAAGTGGAAAGAGGGGCACATAACTAAGTCAGAATATCAGCAAATAGCCCGAGCCTCCAAAGATGAAGTGAGAAAAGCCAAGGCTCAAAATGAACTAAGGCTTGCGACCAAAGTCAAAAATAACAAAAAAAGCTTCTTTCAACATGTAAAAAACAAGAAGAAAGTGAAGGAAATGATTGGTCCACTAGTGGGTGAAAGTGGCAAGAAGGTGACAAGCAACAGGGAGAAAGCAGAACTATTTAACTCGTTTTTTGCATCTGTCTTTACACAAAGGGAAAAAACAGACCAACCTATCAAAAATAGTGCCATAAAAAACAGAATAAAAACACAAGTTAAGATAGGCAAGAAAATGGTAAGTGAGCACCTGTCCAGCCTAGACGAGTTCAAATCGCCAGGACCAGATGGCTTACACACCAAGGTTCTCAAGGAACTGGCAGATGTGATCTCAGAACCACTGAACTATATTTTTTAAAGATCCTGGAGCACAGGGGAACTACCAGAGGACTGGAAAAGAGCTGATGTAATTCCATCTACAAAAAAGGAAAAAAAATGGACCCAGGAAATTACAGACCTATCAGCCTGACCTCAATACCTGGGAAGATCCTGGAAAAGATAATCAAACAACGAATCAGCGAACACCTAGAGGCAAACAAAGTCATTACTAAAAGCCAACATGGGTTTGTCAAAAATAGATCATGCCAGATAAATCTTATTGCATTCTTTGACCAAGTGACAAAATTAGTGGATCAGAGGAATGCTGTGGACATAATTTACTTGGACTTCAGTAAGGCATTTGATAAAGTAGATCACAGCCTACTACTTGACAAGATAGAAAAATGTGGGGTAGACAGCATCACCACCAGATGGATCCATAGCTGGCTGACCGGCTGTACTCGGCGTGTGGTCCTCAATGGAACCGCATCTACATGGAGGGAAGTGTGTAGTGGGGTGCCCCAGGGCTCTGTTCTGGGCCCAGTGCTCTTCAACATCTTCATCAACGATTTGGACGAGGGGATAGATGGGGAACTCATCAAATTTGCAGACGACACCAAGCTGGCAGGAATAGCCAACACTCCAGAAGACAGGCTTAAGATANGGCTGCATTAACAGAGGGATAGAATCAAGATCACGTGAAGTATTAATACCACTTTACAATGCCTTGGTAAGGCCACACTTGGAATACTGCATCCAGTTTTGGTCACCACGATGTAAAAAAGATGTTGAGACTCTAGAAAGAGTACAGAGAAGAGCAACAAAGATGATTAGGGGACTGGAGGCCAAAGCATATAAGGAACGGTTGCTGGAATTGGGTATGTCCAGTTTAATGAAGAGAAGGACGAGGGGGGACATGATAGCAGTGTACCAATATCTCAGGGGCTGCCACAAAGAAGAGGGAGTCAAGCTATTCTCCAAGGCGCCTGAAGGCAGGACAAGAAGCAACGGGTGGAAACTAAGCAAGGAGAGAAGCAACCTAGAACTAAGGAGAAACTTCCTGACAGTTAGAACAATTAACCAGTGGAGCAACCTGCCTCCAGAAGTGATGAATGCTCCAACACTGGAGGTTTTTAAGAAGAGACTGGACAGCCATTTGTCCGAAATGGTATAGGGTTTCCTGCCTGAGCAGGGGGTTGAACTAGATGACCTCCAAGATCCCTTCCAACTTTACTATTATTATTATTATTATTATTATTATTATTATTATTATTATTATTATTATTATTATTATTATTATTAATTATTATTATTATTATTATTATTATTATTATTATTAGTGCATTCATATAAAGTAAGAATTCAACAGAGCCCATGTTGGAACCCATTACTCTCAGATTCCTAAATTCACTAATTGCTATTATTTCATGCCAAGGACATATGACAGTTTAAGAGGGTGAGCATCATGGATGGTCAAAGAAAATGGCTGCCATGGGGTGGATGCACATTCACAGAATGGCTGCGCCTATGGGTATCATGATGGATAGAACCCATTTTTATTTTGTAATACATTTGTACATAAAATTAAAAAATGTTCCTGGAAAGTAAGTTGATTTTCAATACCAATACTTTCTTTTGCAGCTTACCAACTTCTTCTATAACTTGGTTTAAAATTTAAATATGTTAAATATGAAGATTACAGGTAATCTTCAACCTGTAATCCTTTATTACAACTGTAACAGAGCCCGGAAATATGGCCATAAACCATACTCATTGTTAAACTCAATTTAAACTCATTAAAACAAGCCATCATGTGACTTTTTTGCAGCAATTGTTAAGCAAATCTGCAATCATTAAATGAACGGCCTGGTCATTAGGCAAACTTGTTGTTTGAAATTGGTGTTTGCTGGAAATCAGAAGCAAAGGCCTGTTTCTGGCAAACACTATAGTACATTGTGATCACATGACCTCAGGATGCTGCAAATGGCCATAAATGTGGTCTGGTGATCTCCTCACCAGGGGGTGGGGCAGCTGTTGAAACTGAATCTGTGTCGTAAGTACCTTTTTTGGGGGTCCATTGCAAATTTCATGGTTGCTAGGTAACTAGTTATAAGTTGAGGCCTACTAGATGAGGGCAGGGAATATCAAGGAGGCATTTGCCGCATTGGGGACCTCAGCTAGGATAGGAGTTCAACAATATTTCAAAGTGTCCTGCAGAGGGCAGCAGTACCACACAGGCAGGCTGGCAGGCTGACACACACAGACAGACAGACACACAAACACACAAAACACTAATGCATTCTTCAATGCTACAGGTCCCTTTCCTGGCTTTTAATAAAACTTGATTTCCATTACAGTATTTAAGTTGAAGTTGAGGGTAAGAATAAATTGACTACTTGAAAGCTTCCCTCTCTCCAGTACTTTCTGCCTGGCCTGCCTGACTGGACAGAGTTGGCCTGCTCTGGGCTCCACCAATTAAACCATGCCATTTGATGGGATCCTGGAAATGGGTCTTCTCTATTGCAGGACCTGCCCTCTAGACTCTAGAGATCCCTCTGGCCCCTCTCTGACCCTGTTTGGAAGGTCTTAATAAATTGGCTTTTCCCCCAGGTTAGGCTCTTATTTCATTCTACATGACAGTATGAATTTTCCCTCTCTTCTTTTCTTTGTTACTCTGTTTTTTCTTGCTTTTAATACTGGATGCTGCCCAGAATCTTCATTTATAAATTTTACCCAAGAAAATAAAGCAAAACTTCTTTTACTTTAAACAAAAACCATAAGGCCTTTCTGACAACTGAGCCCGGCCACTGCATTTCTAGGCCGATTAGAGTGACAGCCCCAAGATTAAAAAATATGAATAAATTAAAAAATGGAGAAATGTTGAGGAATTCGTATCCAGGTCCTTGGAAGTAAGCCATGAACTTTAGGAGCCATTTTTTTTCATGATATACGGAAAGCAGTACCTTAATAACCGACTGACACTCAGCATTCTAATATTTTACACTGCTCTCTTTTATTTATACAGGGCAGATAGTCCTCAATTTGCAACCGTTTGTTTAGCAACCGTTTGAAGTTACAACGGCACTGAAAAAGTGACTTACGACTGGTCTCGCACTTATGACTATCACAGCATCCTCAAAGTCACATGATCAAAATTTGGATGCTTGACAACCAGCATGTATTTACAACTGATGCAGCATCCCAGGGTCATGTGATCGCCATTTGCGACCTTCCTTGCCTGCTTCTGACCAGCAAAGTCAATGGGGGAACCTGGATTCGCTTAACAACAGTTTGATTCACTTAATCCCTTCAGTGTGATTCACTTAACAACCATGGCAAAAAAAGGTCTTCAAATCAGGCACAACTCATTTAACGATTGCGTTGCATAGCAACAGAAACTCTGGTCCAATTGTGCTCAGAGGTTATGGATTACCTGTATTCAATAAAAAAATCATGACAAATTGCGGCTGAATTGAGCATTTTCACCAGGATGTTAGATCATTCTATTTCCAGTCTTCAGACTGTCAGTGTCTTTGCTTATAGGCATTAAGAGCAACAGCAGCATAGCACATAAAAGATGTCAGGCTAGTTTGGGTAGAATGCAAGATTTACTTCTTCTTTTTAATGATGAAAAAAAATCCCACGGTAAACAGTGAGATTATTCTAATTCATAGGATGCAGAGTCTGAAATGGTGCTGGGAAACCGCCAGAAAAAATTTATTAGAAATAGATTGTCACAGCCTGAATAGAAAGCTCTACATACTGCAACATTTTGTGGTAGAGGCGCACCTGCGGTGCTCCATCTGGATTTCAATCATTTGTATTAATGTCAGAGGCCACAAAGGCTATCACGCAGTTTGTCTTCTCCCCATATCACATTGCATTTATCTTCTTCCCCATAATTTGAAGCCTGGCTGTTTAATAAAGGTGAAGGTCAGAAAAGCCCATCCATGAATCACACTTGCTAAAATGGGTTGTACTAGTTACACTATCACTATTTTGGTTCATTGAAAAAAAAAAGAAGGGGGAAAGGAAGGGGGGGAGAGAAGGAAGGAGAGAGGAAGATAGAAAAGGTGGAGTTCTAGTCTTGCCTTAGACATGAAAGCCAGCTGGATGACTTTGTTGCAATCACCAGAAGACTATGAATTCTAGTCATGCCTTAGGCATGAAAGCCAGTTGGGTGACTTTGGCCCAGTCCCCCTCTCTCAGCCCAACCTACCTCACAGGACTGTTGTTATGGGGAAAATAGGAGGAGGAAAGTGTATTAGGTCCATTTGCCACCTTAAATTATATATAAAAAATAAATTTAAATAAATTTAAAAATAAATAATATATTTGGGGGGATATGGAGCAACAATTTTCGCTGGAGGCAGAAATAAAGACCCTTCTCTGGGCTCTCTAAATGAACAAGTCATATATAAGGAAGTCATATATGTCAGGATATTCTAGGAACCAATCAGAGCAAAACGTCTTTGTTTATGGGGTGGGTGGGGGGAAATGGGTAGCCATATAAAGCAAAAGCATCCATTAAACCAGTGTTTCTCAAAATCTCAGAGCCCAGAAGTTGTGTGGACTTCAACTCACAGAATTCCCTAGCCAGCATATTGGTACCTGTTTCTGTGGGACAAATCCAACGATTATTGCTGGAAAAACTTTTCTGTTTAGGTGTTGACCTCCTCTGTTCGCTGAACACAGAACTGCTAATTCTACAGCAGTTCCTGTTCTGTGAAAATCTTGCCATTTATACCTGGCACTTCCCTACTGATGTTCTGCCAAGCTATTAAAACGGGGTAGCTTAACTGATTCTGAATGTGATTATGGGATTCTTACAGTGACCAGCCTGTAGCTTTGTTTTTGTAAGAAGTTGCTGCTGCCTGTGGTTTTTATTATTAAATTTTGGTTATCTGTTTGGAATCTTATCAGCAGAAACCATTTGGAACAGGTGGCAATATATATGCGTACGTACGTATGTATGTATGTTTGTATGTATATGAGTGTGAGTGTGGATCTGTTTGTGTTATACTTTATTATAATGCCTCTTTTATAGAGGTATTAGAAATAGGTATAGTTCACCTCTTTTAATGGACACCTCAGGATATGATAGTTATTTTTATCTTCAAGTACTGCTGGCTGATCAGTCCTATTACATTGCATCAAGATCCAAAGTTCAGTTCACACCCAACAATATCAATTCTTGCTCCTGGACAAGAATTTTAAGGTTGGGGGTTTAGTTGCTTATGATTTTTATGGTGTAAGACATAATATGGATTCTTAATTCTATTGGCCTCAGACAGCATGGAAGACAGAAGCTGAGGTCCCATCAAGGCATCATCCTGGCTTCTAATTTCATGCTGGTACACTTTACCCAGTGTTTCACAATCTCAGCAACTTTAAAACATGTGGACTTCAAGTTCCAGAATTCCCCAGCTGGCATGAAGTTCACATATCTCAAAGTTGCCAAAGTTGAGAAACATTACTTTTAGTCAGTTCCTCCAAATAGCAAGGAGCTTCCCACTGTATCTTGGAGAATTTACCTTTTCATCAAACAGTACTTTAACAACCCACACAGAGACACACACAGAGATATGTCTATACAGAAGTTGCTTACTTGAAAAACTGCTTCTGAGGTGGAAGGATTTCCTTGGACACTTCCTGGAGACAATGCGAAACATGGGGAGGAGGAGGAAGAGGAACTGCTAAGATCTTCTTCAACGTTGAAGGAATCAGGGGCTCCACAATGGGCTGCATCTGAACGTGTTGTTGAGGGGAAAAGAGGCTGAAAGTCAGACTGAGCTACTTGGGGACTCACAGAAGAGCGAAAGGATAATGCTGTGAGAGGGTTCGCAACTTGGGAGTCCTCCTGGACCCACGGCTGACACTGGACGACCAGTTGGCGGCTGTGGCCAGGGGGGCGTTTTACCGGGTACGCCTGGTGCACCAGTTGCGGCCTTTTCTGGACCGGGATGCCTTGCGCACAGTCACCCATGCTCTTGTCACCTCCCGCCTGGACTACTGTAATGCTCTCTACATGGGGCTCCCCTTGAGGAGCACTC